GTCCGTTAATATTGCTTTCCCTATGCATACTTTCCTTTCCTATAGTACGTCTAAAAGCGTGTTCACGCCCTACTTTTGGTCTCCAACTAAAATTCTTAAGCAGTCTCTGGGTATCATGTCGTATACAGAACAGAGATCTTATGTTCCACGTCCCAAATAGAAATACTCCAGGTTATCCAGTTTTAGTTCCAATTTTATTTCCCAAACGATCTGTTGTTTTCCGAGGCTTAGTAGTAGTAAGTTTCTTAACAATTTATTACTGGGACGGGTCATTAGCAGGTCGCCAAACCCCCAACCAGCTAAGTTCATGGGGATAGTTATTGCAGCACAAATTGTGCTGGGCGATGGGAGCACCAATTTCCCTACGCTACAGCTCTGGGCCCCGGGTTCGCTAAACCCGTAACACTAAGTGTCCCCCAGGGGGAGAATAAAAAATATAATAGCCTCAATCTATAAAGAAGAAAGCAGTGCTCATATTAGCGGGCCGTAACATCCTGGAGAGAGGGTGGTTTTTCTATAGTTAATGTGGTGCTAGGAGACATGGAACTGAAAATGGGAGTGAAAGGATCGCAAGGAAACTCGAAAATTGATTTCAGATAGAAGTAAAGGGGAGTCAATAATACCATATAGAAGCTTAAGTAAAAAAGGGGTATTAGTTTTAGCACGTCGATCCGGGAGAGCACATAGATGGCATAGACCAAGGAGGTCTTGCTCAGGTGAGTAGTCGTGAGGCGATTGAGATATGTTCATTACATAACCCTCAAAAGAGAAAATTTTTCTTCGCCCTTTCGAGCTAGATCGAATCCGCGACAGTCAATTGATCCCATGTTTATTGCTTGATAAAATAATAATATATCGATATTATAATAAAGTATCGATATTTTCGAAAATGTCTACCAAGGACTAGGCATGGGCTAACGATACAAATATATCGAAATTCGATAATATCATCCAGTCGCAAATATCAAAATATATTGATGTACAAACTGCCCCGACCCGGCGTTGCCCGTGTATTAGAATTAGTGATGGGAATCAGAAAATCCGGATTTTCACAAAAAAACGTTATTTAAGCTACTTAAAAATCATATAAGTGTTAAAAAATTTTACAATATAAAGCTCTATATCTAAGTAACATTTTTTTGATAAATATGTGAAAATTAAACAAAACACCAAAGAGATAAACTGCTTTTGAATTTCGGATTTGTTGAAATCCGGAATCCGAAACCCGAAAGCATTTTATAGACAAAGTTAAGAGTTTTTTTTAAAAATTTTTATCAACAAATTTTACTTAGGTACACATCTTTATATTGTAATAGTATTTAACAATTATATGATTTTCAAATGACTTAAAAAGCGTTTTTTTGAAAAATCCGGATTTTCGGATTCCCAACACTAATTAGAATAGACACAAAATCAGCTGATCGGATCACTGTATCCCTGTGGTATGCAAAAACCATAGAGATGTATTGATAACTATTGATACTATTGATAATCATAATTATTTATTTTAATTAATTAAAAATTAAAAACATGTTCTATCGGATCAAATTGTGAATCTAAATCTTTCTCGAATCAACTTAATCGCGCACACAAAGTTTCATAAAAATCTGTCCAGCCGTTTAGAAGAAGTCTGCATACTTACACACGGACAGAATAAATATATATACAAAGATAAATTTAAAATTATCGATATTTTGCTATATCGGCATAGTTCATCCCATTCCTGGTACAAATATATCAATATATTTGGCCGAGGATCATCACAGCGACATGGTGCGTTGTGAGTCATGTCCCCGCCACTGTGGGCGGGGTCCACTAGGCTATTACGCAAACAAACTATTTTACACAATTTGCTTTACAGTGCTGGTTTGATGAGACATTATAATATAACTATAGTCCGGCTCATGAAACTTAACGTTGACATCAGCGCTACCAGTGGCCCATTTCCATTAGTGGGTATCAAAATAAATGGCGCGCTTTTTAAAATGTTTAAATGTACGTATTTTATTATTTTGTCTCATGCGCTCCGTTATGTGTAACGAATTAGCAATTAAAAAAAATTAATAAAAATATGTTTAGTATGTACATTTTAACATAACAGCTGACAATAACAATAATACGTACAATACGGAGAACCACTGGCATCGACAATATTTGGCCACCGCCCATCGGCCTTGAACGTTCAGTTTTCGTGAGCCGGACTATAAATTATAGTAACAGCCATAAGCAGGGTTGGCCATTTTTTATTCGAGCAAATCTAAGATGATTACTTCGAATAATTAAATACAAATTATCTAAACAATGTCCAACTCTGCCCATAAGAAATACATTGCACGCTGTCTGGATTTTCCATTATACTTTTAACTTGAAAAATAGCCTTAAATAATAAATAGCCCTTTTTGCTTCATGAATAATATATATAATAATATGTTGAACAATTATATTTATACCATTAAGTGTTAGTAAGCTAACCAAGAAGCAAAACTTTTTTCATAGTTGCCAAAAAAGCGTTTAAGCATGTTAAAGTTTGAACATTGAACAAATAAAAACAAATTTCAGTGTATGCAGAATATTATTTGTTTTCGATAACAGGAGATATCTATAACTATAACTGTTTAAAATACGCGCTAAGTAAACATTTTTTAAATGAGTGTAATTTTAATTATAATATAAATTATATTCTAACATATCCGTCGAATACCAATTATGTTATATTTAAATGCTTGTATTAAACCTATTAATGTTATAGCATATTAAATGTATTTTTAATGAGTTGTGGTAGTTATTTATATTAAAGCAAGTTTAAATATGTTTTGTAAATAATATTATACTATAATAATGTGACATTCTTCCATAATTAAAATTATGAAAGAATATGTTGTTGTTTTTTTTTTTTAGTGCTTCGTAAGAGGTAATTAATGCATTAGGAAACTATTAAAATACAATGAAATCAGCATAAAATAAATTATATATGTAGGTATGTTAAAAAAAAAAGACGAAATCCGATAATTCTAGCTGGTCAAAATATAATATTTCGGTATTAATAATTTCTAACTTTGCCAGTTAATTTGATAAAAATGTCTGTATTTTCTTATATTATAATTTATAACCATTAATAACTTAAGAGTTAAGTTAGTAGTACAATGCTTACTTACAATGGTTAAATGTAATTTATAATAGGTACTTTATTCATGTTACAAGAAGAAAAAAATGTACTATAGAAAATAGGCCGATAAGATGAAATTTAAATCCAGATTTAAACCTTTGTAAAATTAATAGAAAATACCTACTATTGCAGTACAAATAATCTAAAAATTAGACATATTAATATGAGTTATGATTAGATCGCTCTGCTCTCAACCAATTTTCGCCAAAGTGTAGTTTGTCATGCACCCCCATTAAGTTCAGACGTCAGAATTATTTGCTGTTGAATATGGAACTAACAAATTTGCATGTTGGATATATGTTGAAACTTCCATAGTTTTGCTCTCATATACAATTTTCCAATTGTCCGTATGCTTCACACAATAACGATATTATTGATGTTTGATTATTGTTCTTTTATTATGTGAACATACTATGCCATATTTAATATAACTAACTTTACAACATTACAACAGTAAAATATTAGATAGACTTGATTTAATTTAAATCTAGACAAGTAGACTGTAGTAGATAGTGACTAATGTTTTGCTTATTAAATTATTTAAAAATAAATACATTTGTGTTTTACTTGACACACATTGACATTTATAATATTATTAGTCTTCGATACAGACAATATTTACTTTCCTTACAGAAATAATATAAAGTAATGTAATTTAATTACATTTATGGAACAAAGAACTCAGATCGGGCCGCGCCATCGGCAGTTTGGTCAAGGACGGAAAGTATAAAAATGTAAGTAGACGCCTTGGTCTACCTCGAATTATTGACAAGGAATTGGACAATCTTCTTTTTTTCATAGTACTTTATTAACATGTTAGTTGTAACACCAACAAATAACAAACTATTAAGGTGTAAATGTGTCGTATATCAATAACATGTAATATATCACATATATATTATTTAATAATGTCTTATTAAATAATCAAGTATTGACTATTAAGATTTAAGTATTAACCGATATTTTTAATTTTTTCTTGATCAAATGTAGTTATACTACCATTATATTTATTAAAAAACGAATTTTAAATAAAATAATAACACAAATAACTGTACCATGTAAGTTTTTGACAAAATCTCTACAGAATATGTTACACGATTTTGAAAAAAAAAACATTAGTCATACAGAATAAAATTAATTCTTTCGGTTGACCAAAATGAAATGCCCTAATCTTAGAAATTGTAAATCCTAACCATATAATTAATAGGAACAATCAACATATCCCAACCCAAATAAATCATATAGTATAAACATTTATAAGCACAAAATTCCCTGTCCCTCTACCAACCCTATATAATTAGAATTCGTTATAATAACGTATTGCCTTAATTCTTTTATCAATAATTTAATTTCTTGATATCAGATGATTCTCTTATCAATAAACTCCCCTCCCCTTTCTTCCTCACCACTTCTCAATCATTATCATATAATAATTCTCTTGCTTACAAGAATTATTCATGTCAAGAGTTGACGGTATTAAAATAAAAATAGGAGTAAATAATATCTTGTTAATGACAAAATAGGTAATGGTATCATAAAAAAAAGGATTTAAAATTATATGTTAAAGAATAACAATATCGCTACTACAACAAAAGTTGTATATTTTAAAGCCAAAACGATCGATTTATGTGACCATACATTTTTGTACAATTTTATTTTAAATAGATAGAGGCATAAGCAACACACAATATAGTTAATATTGTTTTATTAAATTGATATTGTACAAACAACTTATATAATATTGTAATTATTTAGTATTACAAACATTTTAATTTTAGTATCAATAATACTAATAATTTAGTAATAATGAAACATATTATTTAAAAACATAAATCTGATAAATTTCATCAAAAAACATTTACATAAACATACAAAAAACAAAAACAATAAAAAAAAAAAAAATGGAATGCACCTTACTTTGCTTTGGTTTGTTTTACTTTTGACCTCTTTTCGCAATACATAAACATAACAATTTTATTTTATTTATTATACATAAATTAAGAAATATAACAAAATTAGTAACTTTAAAAATTCAACAGTAGTTGTATCAGTCTCGAAATAATGAATAAAGATTGTCTTAATAAGTCAGATGTTGGATTAATATATATAAGGATACATAGGAATATAAATATACAATTTAAAAAAGTTCTTTTTCTATAAATCAAATTTTTGATATCTTATTTAACAAAAATTAAAAAACCCTAGTCTCTATCAATATACACATTTTGATTACTAATTTATAACATCAATTGATAACAATATAGATAAATACTTAGAATCAATGTTTTTTTATACATTAAATACTTAAAAATAGTCAACCAAAATAATACTTGATATAAAAAATACTGAATACAATTTCACATAGTTATCGTTCTACTGGTTTAAATAGGAAGACACTGTTTTCTTTACCTCATTAACAATATATAAACAATTTACTGCTACTATGTCTTTATAAATAGGTTGAACTGAAACACACATGAAATAGTAAAATAACAACTGTAGGTAATGTTAGTTTTTAAATAGTACAGGGAAAAAATAACAATTCAACTTACATATGAGTTTATCAATAGTGAAACATGATATCAATGATTTTCCTTGTTTTTCGACAACATCAGCTATAGTAGGATCTTTTATATGGTCTTTAATTTCCTTCAATAGTGCCAACCAATCGCATGCATATTGGTTAGTTTTTTTTGAACAAAATATAAGAGCGTGACCCATTTCATTTGGTTTTATCATACCAACCTAATTGGTTAATATTATAAATAATAATAAGTTATACTTTGTTCTACTAACCAATATTTTGAAAAAGTGATATTCTAACAACCATAAAATCAATTCAATTTTTAAATCATACCTTTGCAAATATTTTGATCAGCGAGTAAAAAACCCCGACATTAACTTGAGTAAGCAGCGGATAACCTATAAGGAGTAAACTGTCAGAAGTCTCGAGTAGCTCTAAAATTTCTAATATAGACGTTAGCGACTCGAGTTGTTTTCTGTTATTGTTTATGCAGTCGCTAATATTGATTGAAGTTAAGTCGCAAACTATTAAACGAGCTTCAATCGTATTCTTAGGAACTTGAAGCCAGAAATAGCTAAAATAAAAACATAGACAATAAGTCAAAACTACTAAAACCGTTTAATGTTATTGATATTTTTAACTATTTATATTAATTCTATTAACAAACTTTCTACGCTTAGTATTGTCTTCTGTCGGGATTGTAAACAGCGATCTTGCTCGGTTACTGTAGTCAATTAATATATCCACACAGAATTTTGAGCCGCGCACTACAGACACAGGTTTACCCATTTGAATACATTTATCTGATATATCAATTTTTAAATCCTAAAAAGAAAATCAGTTATTAGGACCAAGAAGTCAAATGGGGTTGAAAAAAAAAGGTGTCTATACAAAACCCAACAAATTTAAACCCATTCTCAATATGCATGTGATAATTATTACTAGTATAATTAGTGTTCAAATGTTCCATGAATTATTTTTTTAAATATAAACGTTACCAAATATTAGCTATGTACAAAATTTATTAGAATCCAAGATATTAACAAAAACTTAAAATATAACAAACTGTCGCCACTAGTGGTTAAGTTTACATTACCTATTTAATAAATCTTAACCACCATTCAAAGAAGTAAATATAATTTTGAATTAACAATATTTTGAGTGTTCAATGAAAATAATTTTTGACTAAATAATAAAACTTCAATATTAAAAGTGGTATGAATACCTCTGCAGAGTGCCATAATATAATATTGTCATTTTCCCACTTCACTTGGTGAAAGTCATTTACTTCCGCTTGAAGCAACTTTGCTTCGTCTATTGCTTGATACTCAATTCTTCGTTGCTTTTCAGAAAATGAATAATCTAAATTCTTTCGCACCAATGTAACTTTAGGCAACTCATACAGTATACTCTATATAAATAATTAATATACAAATTATTATGATAGTAATTAAAGAAGATATTAGATGGCATACTAATATTTTAAACTTTTTACTTGAAGTTTTTTTTCTCCCACTATTTCCAACGATGGATCTATTGGCTTTATTTTAAATTTAGCGATGTACATTTTAGAAACCTGGTATTGTAAATCCATCAAAAACTTTGTATCATTTTCAATACCATCACCTCCGTGTAAAAAACGCTGTATATTGCGCTCTATAACTTGCATTTGTAATTTACTGAAATATTGCGAACAGTTGTACATACTAGAGAGAAACTCTTTTGGCAACTCTTTTAAAGGAAACAGGCTGTATTGGGCTATAACGAGTTAACAAAAATGTAATCATAAATTATTTAAAAAAATACATAGACCTTTTTTTAAAGCAACACATACTATGATCGGTGCAAGTAAAAAATCTTTGAATCCAAGGTTCCGTGTATTCTAGTCCTTTATAACCTTGACAGATAACGTAAACTTCCGAATTTCCTTGTCTACTGGTGACAGGTTTTCTTACTTTAACAGATTCAAAAGCACAACAAAGTAAGTACATTCGGCATAGTGTGTTACATTCAAACATGGTAAACATTTTTAACACAAATGATCCACCTGAAATAACAAACATTGTAATTTCAAGTTGAATTATCAATCACAAACATTTTCTATATAACCATTGGTGTAGTTGTATGGTATACACTGTATACTCATAATGAAAATTGATTACATGCGGGTAGAGAATACAATTTTCATTATGAGTACATGCTGATTCATAACTAACCAGTTTCTAACACCATTAACGCGACCATTGTTTCTACCAACTGCAGTCGCATAACTACATTTTCTTGTTCATCAGGATTATTTTGGCAGTCCATACTACCGTCACCTGTAACCTGTGGAGATAATTAATTATATTATTACAGAACATTGATTTAAATTTATTCTTTTTAATTTAAATTTTTACCAAACTCGCTTGCTGGCCAAATCGATTTTTTACAGTTTTGTACAAATCCTTGTAAAAGTCTTTTTGAAAAATATCACCCGTATAATCACTTCCGTAAAACCAATGGTCTCTGGTGAACAACATGAATCTGTCATCATTTATCATATCGGGATTACCATTTCCTTCGTGATAAGGGTTTAAGGACATTCCTAACCAATCCCACTAAAACCAAAAACATATTAATTAAAGTACAAATATAACAAGTTTAATAAAAGTAATTACTTACTTTGATGCCCAAACCTTTACTAGCAATTAAATGGTTGAGAGCACAAATGAATCCACCTGGAGCTTCACACAAGTGAATGGAGAACAACTGTTTATCGTCAATAGCTTTTTGTGGTATAACTTGTATTTCGTTTAGTAACTCGTAAAATTTCAGCCATGCTGTAGTCAATAGTTCAGGATGTGCAACTCCTTTAACTCTTGATAAAACTTTCCCAGAAGGATTTGTTTGTTTTGTGTTTTGATGCCAATGAGCCAAATTAAAATTATCCAGTTTATCTTTGACTATGTTTAATGATTTTTTTAGGCATAAAAAATCTGGTAACTGTAAAAAGTGATTTTAGATCATCAGTTATTGCAAAAAAGAAATTCAGAAATTGTTTTGGTTTAATAATTTATAATGCATAAAACCCCCCAAAAAAAGTTAAAACACAATAAAAATATAGTTAAATTTGGCACCAAAAACATAAAAAAAATAACTATTGCCTCACCCACACATTGCTAGATTAAAATTTTAAATTATTTTTTTATGTGGCTTTTACCATAAAGAATTTAAATTATTTTTTCATTATAGACCAAATTAAAAAATAGAAATGAAAATACTAGTTATGATAGTTTTCTACTAATTAGTTGTAAATTGTGATATATGTAATTAATCTAATGATTTTAAATACTATTGGATCTAGTTCTTGTTTAAGACAATTATTATTCAATCTAAAATATAAATGATTCATCAAAAAATAAAATTGTTATTTCTTATTTACTTCTCTTCATAAACATATAGATAATTAATAAAAATAATTTAACACCATAACCTACTTTGTTATGGTTCAATAAAACAGATTTTATTAATACATTATGACTCATCAAAAGGTATTCAATAGATAACATATTATAAATAAATTTACAACTATGTCAAGCATAAAATATTATACTATTTTTAATTTAGAATAGAACAATAATATTAAAATTACCTCCCATTTACTGTAAGCCAACACCGACTCTAGTTCTGGTAATTTCCATTTTTTGGAAATTGGCATTTCGAATTCTTTCGAGAATAATTGATTTAAAATTTCCTCCATTTGTGTTGCTTTTACTTGAGATCCATTGTAACCATCATCGGTTTTTTTAATATTAGTTCCGTAATCCTTTGCGCAGTCATAGTTTGTGTAATTATTATTGTAAGTGTCTTCGTTACCCATTTGGATGTTACGTTGGCAATTTTTGTAGATTCAAAATAATGACATACCTAATTTAACTTTGTTAGTACATTGAGCCATGGGTGTAAAAGTTTAGTTAATACCTATTATTTATTGATAATCGATATAATTTTATCATTTACTCACAACAAAAACGCGTCATTTCAACTACAATAAAAAGCAATGTAGTAATTTATATAGTATATACATATATATAGCTATCACGGGACACAGATACCTACAATCAACGTTAAGTATAAATATATTACAAATTCCAAATTCCAATGTCTGTCTGATCACTGGTGTCTAATTACGTGTTACCACTCCCCTCACCTCTATCTTAAATTTCGATACGATAACAACTTTCTACCGTTATCAAATGTGCTGTCGTGTCACAAAAGAGTTTGATTTTTCTCATCAAGTCTCACTGTATTGTTTTCATAGTGAATATAATCTTGGCGCTTAAATTATATATATTTTTTTCAAATTTAAATAATCTAAACATTTCCAAACTATGCCGTTTAACGAAACACGTCGCCAAACGTTTGTATTTTTTTAATCACTTAATTTTTGGTTTATGTATAATAATTTAGAAACATTTAATGATATATCAACATTTATTTATTATGGATAGTTTACAGAAAAAAATACAAGATATATCTTGGCATGGTTTATACACTTAAACAAATATAAATTATTCATTCTGTCTTATCCAACATAACTTAAAGTTTAAAGTATATTTGCTAACTATTTCATTAAAATGTATAAACTTTCAATAATATTTTGTTATTGCCAGCCTATACCCATAATTTTAAATCCTAATGTTATATTTTTACACAACTCAATATTGTAAATGTGATTCCTGGCATTATTTTCAATTCCTTTTACCTCGCGATCTTTGTCAATATGAACTTAATAAGACTCTCCTGAAAATATTCTAAGCTTTGAGCCAGTGTTACTAATGTTAATATTGATAATATTAAAATTTATTTATTTTAAGGTCAATTGATTTACATTCAGAAAATGAATATGATCACAAAAAAATCATTATGCATTCTTTTAAAACTTTATGGATTATTAAGTAACTAAAACTTTACTTATGTTTTTAACTTTAGTTAACACTAAATAATATTAAAAGTCCTTACAAAGACTAGCACGTCAAATTGCAGAACATAATCAACACTTCAGTCATGTTTATCTAGGCTTCTGATTTATCGTTTCATAGGCAATTTGAAGTGTGTTAGTTTTTGTAAGGAGAGTTGTCATATTGTAATAGTTTATGAAATAGCCGAGTTATAGAAAACGTATTAAAGTTAAATCCAGCGAAAAAATCAATAATTCAAAATAAGGACATTAAAAAATTACAGTTGAGTAATATTTACGAACAACTTTGGAGAATAAAGTATGGATACAAATAAATAGTTAAAAACTATCACATTAACATGATTAATTTTTAATTTTCAGCATAATTCTTAATAATGAATTAAATCCACCTCAAATAGCTCAAAAAAATCATAGGTAACTATGATACTTTAAATAACTACCATTTTATACTACAAAAAGCAATAAAATTGTGATTACATTTTTATAATTAGTCTTAATAAACATTTTTTACATTAACAGAAATTTTTGTTTAAATTTAATTATATTATTTCAAAATCGTCTCTTAGATCATTATATTCTAACACATGTTTCTTGATGGCAGAATTATCAACCCACGTCACAAAGTCTTCCAAAGGTCTAGAAAATAAAAATAGTAAAATTAAATTTTTTGCTTTATAGCAGTACAGATAATAAAGGAAATTATTTAACTTATTATTATTTAAAACCAGTGTCTACCATGGGTGCAGGAGGGCTACTGCCTCAGGGTGCATTCTAATTTAAAGCGTATTTGTACGGTTTACTATACCTGTTAACACGTAATATAGAGCACAAAAAGTTTTGCTTTGAACACTTTAGTCACTAATTAGGCCACTGGTTTAAACAATAATTGTATTATTAAAAAAGCAATCATGTTATGGCCTAATCGAGCAGTTTTTAAAGGGGCGCCGCCACAGAATATTATCTTATCCCAATAACATTTTTTCTGGTGTTTAGGAACAGACTTGGTTTTTCAATTTCAATTGAAACACCAATTTTTTTTCAATACTAAAAATAATGGTGCAAAAAAAAATTAAGGAAACAAAAAAATTGTGGAATTTCTTTGCAGTTTTTTATTTCCTATTAAATGGTGTTTTTACGCTAATTACGAATCCAAAATCAGAATTAGGCTAACTCCTATAATACTGCCGACGCGACAATGCCCCGCCCTTCGTGGTCCTTTTTTTTTTCTCAGACACGTGACACAGCTTCCATAGCCTACATCCACTGTGGACCGTGTTCGTCTCGAGCAACAATAATTCATTAAGTTCAAGAAGCTGTAACTTCGAAACTAAGCGTTTCCTCAATTTTTTTTTTGCACCATCGATTTTAGCATTGAAAAACAAATTGATTACAAAAAAAAATCGAAATTCATGTCTGGGGTGGGGTGGTAAAGTTGATTAAAGCCGGTTTTTATTTATTTTTATCTGTTCTATATGATCATAGGCCAAATCATCTTAAGAAAATATTAGTTACAATAGGGGAGTCACAATTAAAAAAATGTTAAGAACCACTAGTCAGTAATAATAATATTAAACATTAAGAGGAATGCACTTTCCTTGCATTGATGTAAGATCTACTAATAATTAATATATTACTATAATACCTTGAAACTAAAAATGCTGGATCTTTAACCAGTTGTGGACCAACCCGAACATGTCCTTGTTCAATAAATGTTGTGGCCGCTTTTAGCGTTTCTACCATCTTTGATCGTACCATTATAACAGGCAGTCGACGTCTACAGAAACATGATGCAGTTACTTTGTTACAGAGTTCAAAATTTCTTTTATTGGTAATCAATCCCAACATATACCTGAAATAAAAATGTTCATAAATCAAACTTTGTACAAAACTTTTAAGCCTGGTCAACAAATTTATGTACATTATACATATGGAAGAAACTTACAGTTTTTCAAGAAGTTGTGCTCCTCTTTCATTTCTAAATGGATTATTAGGTTCTAGAGTTTTAATTTTTTCAGCTAAAGTCCGAATTTCTCGTGATAATTTGTTATACCTAGGTAATACAAAAAATAATACAATTTATTTAGTTATGATAAAGTAAGAACCTATATATAAATGTAAACCTTGGGGTATAAAATATATTTGTGATGTTTTTAAAACAATGGTAAAAAACAACAAGGTAAAAAATTAAGTTTTTTAAATTACAGTTTTGTCAACAAGACCTTTTTTTTAACTGCATTTGTTTAATTTTTAGAAATATTGTATAAAAAATAATAAACAACTCCCATAAAAATGAACTAAAAAAAAATTGTATTTTGAGTTGTAAAATGTTTTTTCAAAGGTTATTATACCATTTTGGTATTCACCACTTAAAATAATAATTTTGTAAACTTTAACGTACAATGTATAATGTTCTCTTTTCTGGATTAGGTATTTCTTCATAATCTTTACTTCGTGCAAATTGTTGTCGATTTCCCATGATATAAAATCTACTTTTCTTAATAGTTTCTGTTCATGAAATTTCAATTTTCTAACCATTTTATCTTAAATATACTAGAAATGTTGATAAACTAAGTGTCTTTAAAATAATAAATACACACCAAATCGTACACAATTTTATTCTAACTTTTAACGCCAAATAGGTACACCTAAATCAAATTTAAAACCAAAAATTCGTCAATGCGTGTTTTCTTATTTCTAGTAAACAGAACAATTTCATGAGTCGTGATAAGACTGAAGAGATAAGCAAGAATGTTATCGCCAATCGGTGTCAGGTGCGCACTGTACAGTGTGCAGAAAGTCCAACTTAGGCGTACCAAAAATTGATGTTAGTAACTGCATAGATTAAATACAATATATTTTAATCTATGGTAACCGTGTTAAAATTTTTTTTAAATTTAAAGAAAAAACACGAAATATTAGACTTGCGAGATTTATAGTTACTTTGAACAGTGTACGTCGATAGTTTTTAATGTTTCAATAATTATAGCTTTTCGATCGATTATTTGCTTCCCAAATTTTGGTCATTTTATTTCACACACTGTAAGAACTTATTTTTCCATTTATTGATAGCGTACGTCACACAATTCTATGCATTTTATTCGGTCATTTCATATTATAATCTTTTGCCGATTACCGAATTTGTATGAGCAATATCTGTTTAACTATACCGCATACTAATATTTACTATTTATCTTGAGTGTTTCTCGCAGGTACACATAAATAATGACCCCAGTGTAACTTGTACATCCTGTCCATACAACTAATTTCGTCGGACCGTAATTTCATAATAGTACGTGTTACATAATATTGTTACCATGGCCGAACCCGATGAAAACCCCTTTGGAGATCCACATCCTTTTCAGGTAAATTCCTCATGTTTTCTAGTTAATTCCTAGAAAAACGAATACCTAATTATATGTATATTTTTTGAAGTAATTTTATGTTGTCTGTATTTTAAAATAACTCGTTCGTGTATACTGTATTAAGCTAATAACCAACATAAAACGTATTCAAACATACAATATCTTCTTATTGATTTATTATAAACTAAGAGAACGCAATAATTAAATAATATATAAAACACGATACAGTGTAACACAATATTCAATAAAAAAAGGAAATGTAATGGATTTTAGAAAAACTATGAATTGATGAATTTAGTAAAAGCTTATTCAGCATGCATTTTACTCGTTACAATTTTTCTGTCATTGTTTTTAAGGATATTAACAATTATGAAAAATGTACATAAGATTTGTTGTTCATATATAGTTAATTTTATTGAAATCAAAAGTTCCGTCAAATCAAATTGATTGAACTAAAATTTTTCATGACAATGAAACAAGAACTTTCTTACAGGCAAATAGATTAGTTTATAAATTGAACAGTGGCAAAATTCAAATGCTCGTAATGACATGCAATAAAAGATCTATTTAGTTGTACAATAATTGGAGAACATATTTTGTGCACTAATCTTGATATTTGTATTATTTTATATTTATTAATTTTCTCTTAAACTAAAAATAATTGACAGATGTTAATTTTAAAGTATAATATTTTAGAAAGAAAAAAAATACTTAATTACCTATTATCCTATGTCCAATGTTGTACCTTGTCCATCGCCCAAAGAAAGAATACATTTTTTTAATACTTCAGCCTAGTATGAATTAATGTTTGCTTTTATTTTAGTATAATGGTTACACTTAAGGTTATTACAAATATTTGTTAGATTTTATTACAATGTGTTACAAGACAATAATTAACTTTTTGTATATTTATTTATAACATTACAATTTTTGAGTTTTAATAATAATTTATTATGTTTATTAAAATTTAACTCTATACCTAAGGGAACAATTGTGTTTTAATTATTTTTAGGATCCTTCAGTCAAAGAATTAACCAATAATAAAGTACAGTCCTTAATTGAAGATTTCAATCCGTTTGGAAAGGATCAAAATGTGGTTAACAATGCGGTAAAATTAATATAGATATATTGTACTGTTAATAATATTTTAGTTAATTAATTTGTGATAGAAAAATGTGTATGTAGCATAATTTTGTTTTTTAGCATGTAGCTTTTAGAGTTTTAGTTGTATATTATTTAGTACTCATTTAGTTAATAACATGTAGCTGTTTTCTTATAGTTAAGGAAAAAAGGAACCTTATAAATTAATTAATTAACAAATTTAATAATGTTTCAGAAACCAGCTGTTAGAGGTGCCACAAATCCACCCTTGAATTCTATGCCAGCCGTTATGTCGCCCACACAAGAATATCCAGCAACTTCTCAAGTTACGTCTACATATGGTAGAAATCCTGGTGATGTTTCTGCTGATCTTTTGGTAACTTTTTTTTTTTTTATAACTGGTATCAACTTTTATTTGTTCTGATTGGTTATAATTTGTTGTTATTGTTTATATAGGCTAGAAAAGCCGAACTGGACAGAAGACAAGCAGAGTTGGATAGGAGAGAAGAAGAACTGCGTACTGCATCAATCAATGGTATTATGAAGCTTTTTTACAATTTTAACATTTTTTATTTTCCTAATGAAATTATTTAATTAATTTTAAATATTTAATTTTTAGTACGCCAGAATAATTGGCCACCATTACCTAAACAGTGTTGCTATCAGCCTTGTTTTTATTTGGATATCAACGTAGAAATCCCACCAGATTTTCAACACGTTGTAAGACAGCTATATTATATATGGCTCTGTAAGTTCTTAAATATATTTTGTATTAGTACATGTATAATGAAATTGTATTATATAGAAGAAGAAAAAGTTGGCAATTGGTGTATTAGAACTTGAAGTTTTAATATTTGGATAAGCTAACTTTTGTTTAAAGTGTTGTATGGGCTAATTTGTATTAAGGAGACATTAAATGTAGGTGTGACAATGGGACTCACATCTTGTGGGTACACATTCTTCCTACAATTATTTCTTAAAATTTAATGTTAATCACCTTATTTTTTTTATACTTGCATTTTTTACTTGCAATTAATGGTTTTCAAACAAAATATAATATATGCAAACATTGACAATTTTACTTTTTACAGATCACACTGGGTTATTAGCATCAAATGTATTGATTGCTACCATTTTATTATTTTTCAAAGGAGCTGTTGGAACTTTTATTTCGTCAATTATTTACACTGCTATATTGGTGCCACTTTCATTTTTATGTTGGTTCCGTCCAGGTTATAAGGCATTTCGGTAAGTCGAAACTCTTAACTTGGTTATATTCAAAAGTTTGAGAAAGACCTTAACTGAAATCTATTTTATTTTACAGTGATGATAGTTCATTCAATTTCATGCTATTCTTCTTTGTGTTTTGTATCCAGTTTGTTATATCTATTGTTCAAGCATTAGGCTCAGATGGCTCTGGTTATTGGTAAAGTCTATGATTGTTATTAAAAATATTGTCTGCTTTTAATTTTACCGTATGCACTAATGTAGCTTTTTGGTTTTTTTTATAGTGGATTTTTTACAGCTATTGCTACATTCAAGACAACTCCTCCGAGCCCTTTTATAGGAACATTAGTTTTGATGTTGGCTATTGCATTTGCTATAGGTGCAGTTATGGATTTCTTCTTGCTGACCAAAGTAAACATACTCATCCAGCCATTATAGAAGTATAATTTAATATTTAATTTACCTTTGTATTTATTTTTATAGATACATAGAATTTATCGTAGTTCTGGTGCCAGCTTTGCTAAAGCGCAAGAAGAATTCCGTTCTGGAGTCATTTCTAGTGGTGCTGTCACCAATGTTATAACATCTAACATCAGATTTTAATAAAATACTGCTGATAATTATATCTTCTCATTATATCCATTTTAACACATAATAAAATATTAAAATATATATTGATGTTTTGCATCTCCATTATGTAAATATTTTTTTTTTTTTGCTAAAACAATATTCTTATAGTGCATAGTCAGTAGCAGCTATTATTCGAAACTTAAAAATATACCCTTTAAAATACTTTTTGTTTATGACCAATTTATTATTAGGACTTAATGATAAAAAATAATTATGAATAGTTAATTGTCCTATTAATTATTATCATATTTTTCTATAGTTAGTTTAACTATAAACTTGTGTTTTATTATAATTTATTAATCGCTTATTATTTTATATACAATTTTTACAACAGTAAGATTTTGTTTTTTTTTTTTTTTTTTTATTTGTTATGTTAATTAATCATTCCTAAATATTATTACAAACAGTTAAATTATGTTTAAGCAAGTTTTTAAGTAAAAATTATGATTCTGTACGATTTATTTGCCATTAAACGTGCACAAATCAAATAATATTTTAAACAAACTGTAATGGAAATTACTTTATAAAGAATATAATCTAAAATAAACAATTAAAAAAAGTTTTAGTTTTTTTTTTAATATCAATTAATAATAATACAGAATACTTATTTTTAAGTATGTTGCCATTATAACTTATAATATATATAATACCTAAAGTTGTGTTTATACTGTTGTTATAATTAGTTAAACAATTTTAAATACTAAATACAACTCGTGTGTTCACAAATACTACTTAGTAAATACAGCGACAAAATACACGAGTATTGACCAAATTCCTTAATCTTGCATTTAATAATAAAATTGTAAATAAATTATTATACCTATGTAACCTTAAATTATTAACAGCCAAATACGATTTTCAACGAATTTAAATTTATTAATTTTTACTCGTTTTAATTGCGCACTTTAAAAGTGTTCTGTTCTTGTGTAAGATTATATACATGGTATATTTATTGCTTAAACCTTAATCGACTAAACAAGTTTTTCCAAAAAATGCAATGATTTTCTATAAAATTATGAAACCTTACGAATACATTGAAATTATTAAATGGCGTTTAACTATTTTAGTATGCAGATTTTGGAATTATTTTACATCGGAACAAGATTAGCAACTTACAATTGCTAATTTCAAACTTTAACTCTTATTACATTATAACTTGAATTTATTTTTTTAATATACTTAATAAAAATTGATTTACCAATAATTATATTAATTTACTTAATAGAAATATTTTGTTAAAAATTTGTCAAAAACGGCCCCGGCCGGAATATGTTCTGAGCCGTTGGTACCACTGTGGAGGCTGGTAACCTTTTTATCATGAGCAATGGTTATCTTTAATCAACCACCTCCATACAACCATACCTTATCATAACTTTTAATATGTTGTTTAATGGAGGTAAAAAATAAAAGTCATTATTGGTCCAATATCTTAAAACAAATTAACAAAATACACTATACACTATAGCTGTGCTGTAAATAGTAATAGCTAAAATGTTATACAATTATTTTTTGGTACTCAATTTTAACATTTTTCATTTATATGGTTAGAAGAATCCCATGTATATTTGATCATACAGCATACTCACTGCTAACAATAAGATGATCTACATTCAGTTAAAGAGTCGCAAGACTAAAAACTAATAGGAATATGCAACACTTATTGTTTTCAAACATAAAGTGTGTACCATGATAAATTGTATTAAAAGGAATTTTTTGGCTTTAGTATTGTAATAATTATAAAAAAAAAAAATACTTTTTAAAACAGTTTTATAATAACTATTTACAGTAAATGGTTTATTTTTTAATAAGCTTATTTGAGATTAATTTAAGTTCTTATATTTTATTTTAACAATCGCATAATTTTACGTTTTTTTTTTAATTGAATAAGTTTTTGAATCAGTTTTTATTAATAAATTAATATTACTTTGAAACATGTTCTGGTAAAATTGCGTGTGTTATTACTCTGGTAACCACTACTAACTGCGGCAAACGCAAAACGGCCAAACGGACCGTTGCGTAAATGCATTATTTGTTTTCAAACGTTGAAATGGCGGCATTTTCCGTTTTGTTGTCAACAAGCTTTTGTTGTCGACATCGATTTTGCCGAGCGTCTCTCACGGAATTGCCCGCCGTCAATCGAGCACTCTGATTGGTCGATGCCGCGGCGCGTTCAACAAACATGGCGGCCACAAGCCGTTTGCGCGCGTTACCGTCACCCGTTTTGTGCGTGCGTACCGTTTATTGTAAATCCGGTCGACCGCTACACTGTTGTTGTCAGTTTTCTTAACGTCCGTTTATTTATTATTTTTTTTCTCACTTTCCTCAACGGTTTTTTTGCTTCTCTTCAGTCTTAACCCATTAGTCAGTTAAGTCGTTAGCCCAAAGACATCGCGTGTATTGTCACGACCGAAACTCACATTGCACGTACCGTTTACGTATATTAACCGACGACAAAAATGGTAGGTCTTTTTTGTCGCCCGTTTTTCTCGTAAATAACATTGTTATTATAGCAACTGTAAATGTCTACCGTCGTTGCGAGCGTGCACGAATTTTGTTGTTTGCAATAATTAAAGCGGCGTTTACCGTGTTTTTGTTTTATTTTATTAGGCTGGAGGAAAAGCAGGTAAAGATTCCGGAAAATCCAAGGCTAAAGCGGTGTCCAGGTCGGCCAGGGCCGGATTACAGGTAAATAAATCTTTCCAGTCGTCTAGGTTTTTTTTTTGTTTTATCGTTCCAAAAAGCTATTGTAATAATAAATTATTAAGCCGACAACACTTATGTCTTAAAGATAACGGCGCGAATCTATTTGTCGGAAATTGATTACTAATTTGTCGATTGAGATAATTACAAACAACGGTTATTTAGTTTTAGTTGACACATATGTCAACTACCTTTATTTTTTTTTAACAAATCTGAACATCATATGAAATTGTTTAACTTAATTGCACTAAAATTGTGTACATTAAACGACTGTTATTCTACGTTTTGAATTAACTGTTGGAGTGTACTGGAGTTGCTATGGAAACTAACAATCAGCCTAACTTTCTAATTATTTTGAATATGACTAGAACATAAAGTTATTTTTTCATGATATTAACTGACTTGACACTGTTCACAGAACTCATTCTAAATTAAATAATTAATGAGTACAATTGTTTTAAAGCTGATACAAATATCCAAGTAGATACTAAATGTAAATTAATTAATGAATGAATGTGAAAAAATGACTAATAGCGTTCTTCTTATAGATATAAAATTGATTTTTAAAATCACCATAATAATTTTTAATTTTAATTATCAATAACAATGCCTCTAATCTTATTAATGAATAATTATAAAAATCTGTCATAAATACCATAAAATATAGTCGATCATAGAAAACGTAAATTTTTCTCAGGTCATTAAATTATAATAATTTTAGTTTTTGTTGAATGTACTACAATTGATACTTTTCCATAAAATTAGTGTTGGTAATTAGTTGTTTTATAGCTTACATTTTAATTAATATTTCATAATTTGTACGTTAAACAATACATTTTGGAGACTGAGTTTAACCGATGAGAATTTTGTTATTTATGATTAAAAACATGTGTAGGGTTATTGTATGGTCCATTGGTTAGACGTAGTTCTGTTTTGTAGTTAACGCTGGCATGGCTTGTGAAATGTCACCTTACCTTATGTTAGTATTATATGGTCTTAACTTTAATACAATTAAAATTTTTAATCTGACTAAATAAACAGTTATTAATACAATATTAACCTTTATTTTACATATAGTTAATAGTTAAATATATTTTTTTTTTAGGAATAAGGTGTTCTTAAATGTAACTTGTTGAGTGTCCATGTTCAATGTTGTTGCATTTCAGATTTTAAATACAAACTGTTTCAAAATTTTTTTAGTTCCCAGTTGGCAGAATTCATCGTCACTTGAAGAATCGTACTACTAGTCATGGTCGTGTTGGAGCTACTGCTGCCGTCTATAGTGCAGCCATTTTAGAATATTTGACTGCTGAAGTAATTTTCATGAGAAAACAATTAGCATTAAATCCATCAATAAAGTAGTATTAACATTCTGTTTGATATTTAATCCAACATTAGGTGCTCGAGTTGGCTGGCAATGCTTCAAAAGATTTAAAAGTAAAACGTATTACACCTCGTCACTTACAGTTAGCCATTAGAGGAGATGAAGAATTAGACACACTCATAAGAGCAACAATTGCGGGAGGAGGTATTATAACTATAATCAGTAGTGTAGTCGTTGGGTATATTCTGGGTGTAACAACGTATTGAGTATAGTGAATGATTTTCGTTATGAGTACCGACATACATAGAAAAGTGGGAAGTTGGTGTATAGTGAATACCCTTACGACTACACAACTGCCCGTAATAACATTGTACGGTACACCGACTCTAACATATTATTTGTTTCAGGTGTGATCCCACATATCCATAAGTCCCTCATAGGCAAAAAGGGATCTCAAAAACCCCAGTAATGTTCACTCGCTGCATAAGACTTTTAATTAAATGTATTGATTAATTTTTTTTTTTAATTTAAGCTAAACAAATTTGGTTTTCTTAATTTGACAACTTTAATTCTTTGCATCATGCGATATTGTAATTTACAAAATTTATTCCATTTGCTACTTTTGTGTGAGTGTTCTATAAGATATATACTGGCATGATTTTTTTTTTATTTTATTAAGAAAAATAAAACTTACTTTTTTTAATGTCAACACTTCTTTAATATTGTATTAATTGAGGAATTTATTGACTACATAAAATTTAGGGTGTACAATTTTTCGTTGTATTATTCATTTGAAGTATAAAATATATGCATTTTTTTTTTTTTTAATTTTATGTTTAATTTGTATAAACAAATGTAGTGTTCTTGTTGTTTAAAAACGAGCATAGTATGTATAATTAATAATTAGTAATAAACATAAATAGTATCCATAACATACAATCTATACCCTACAAAAAGTTACAAGTATAAATGTTTCACAATTGGCGATTATATAAAAGTAAGTTTTTATATAATAGATTATACACAAGTAAGTTTTTTAACAGTATCCTATATCTGTGCATATTTGTTGGACATCTAGGCCATCAATTATTTTGTTCATTACTTTTTCAGCGTATTCTTCGACTAGAGTAATACATTGGTCTTTGTTTGGTAGAGCATCGCAAAGTGATTCTAATCTGTATACAATTTTTTGCTAAAACAATTCAATAAAAAAATTTGTTTAATCAGACAAAAAAAACAGCAACTATTTATAGTTGTATCATACTTCAGCTTGAGAACTTTCAATTTTAGTTTTTATATCGTTTATTACGTCTTTACAAATTGTACATTTAGGATGAAAGCCGGTTAAGGAGTTTTTGACTAGAAAATAAATTATTATTGCTTATTATCATTTAAGGTCAGTAAATAACTTGGTTTTAATTTACTTTGTTTTTTGCACTCGTTTTGTAACATTTCTATGATAATCGTTTTATCCATGCTATGTTGTTTGTCTGAACGGTGTAACTTGCAGATGTGTTTCATCAATTCAAGCAGATTGTCCTGTAAGATTTGTATTAATATATGCAACTGTCAATAAATCTAAAGTAACATGTCCAATATTGGTAGATTATAGTAAAAGTTGGTTAAACAGAAATACTGGTGTAAACAAGTTTCTTTGTCTAGTATTGCTAGGAAAATGTAAGTAACTGAAAGGCTACAATAAGTTTTAATAAATTGACAATATATCACAGTAGAAAAATATTTAATTCTAATGAGTTGAATTGAGTTTAGCTATCGGTTAGAAAAGAACTATAATAATATTTTTTACACACATACACACACACACACATATATATATATTGAAAAATCTCTCACAGTTGACAGTACTATCATTAGGTATGACTACTCCGGAAAAACAACAAAATATATTTGAAAAATACAATTTATTTTGAGGCTTAAACGCCAAATACACAATACTATTAGTTAATAAATGTATAATAATATTTTCATCAACACGAGAAATATGTAATAGGTAGGTAATAATAATTTATTATAATAATTATACATCATTACAAGTCAAAAAAAGAAAAATTATAACAAATTATCTAATACTTAAATCTTGCAATTAAAAACTTATTGTAAAAAAAATAAAATATATCACTTATTAGTTTTCGATGATTTGCACTTTCCATGTGCTACGTTCACAAATCTTGTCGGCCTAAAGAAACACAAATATATACTAATAACTCTGGGAGCAAGAAAAATCAATGTTATTTTCAAGTTGAACACGTAAAATCCTCCAACAATAAAACTAGTAGGAAAAAAAAATATGTTAAAATAATTACTTTGCACTGTTTGGCGTTGTCTTTGGATGAACACCAATAAGTGGATCCCAACAAACAATTTTCATTTTCTAATTGATTAACGGCGGTGCTTTTATTCTTATCGCACATGGTCATTTTCTCACACATCATCCAAGTGGGTACTTGATAATAAAGATTTTTGAATGTTTGGTCGTACGATGGAATCATCTCCAAACACTATATTACAATTGTATATTGTTTTTTTTCAGTAATTTAGTCGTAGGGTACACGCTGTGTGGATTCATCTCCCATTTTTCTATGTACGTGTACACTCATAATAAGAATCAAACTATGCGAGTGGATACACTACATAAAAAAATGAGTACACACAGCATATACCACACTGGTTATACTATTGTTTTTGTAAATTTTGCATTCAATTAAAAAAAAAAAACAGTTTTTTTAGTAAACCTATTTGAGCAGTGCATCACACGAAACAAGAACAACGTGGTTAAATATGAGCAAACAAAAAAAAAAAATTATAATTCAAAAGGAAATCAATACGGAAAATACACCTCACAAAGAATATATCTTAATAATCACCAATTTGGACGTGCTATTTACAAAATAAGTATTGTAGAGCATAGCAAAAATAATTTTTTAAACAATTACCTCATCTTTGTGGATAACTTCAATGCTATCGCACAATTCAACTAGATCGAACTCTTCGATATTACTTTCTGTGCTTTCATTAAAACGTTTCTCAAATGTTTTTACAAAAGCCTCGCAAATGACACATTCTGAAGATTGGTCCAATTGTACCGCTGTAGCTTTGGGTGTCTGCTGTAACTCTGTACTACTACCATGAACTGCTTGAACAGATTCAACATATATGAATACAAAAAAATGTCAAAAACAGTTTATCCAATTAATATGACGTAGACTAACCTTTAGCACCATCAACACACACTAACATGGCCATACAAGCAATTTCAGGACTGGTACCAGTTTCAATAGCCGCCATTATTTGAGCAAAATGACCATCGACAAAGCTCTTGCATTCATTTTCTTCTATGTTAGGCAACACACTACAAGCTGTATCCAAAGCATTTTTGATACTTGCCTATAATGACAATAATCGTAAGTCGTAATTTATAATAGCATTTATTGCCGATTATGTAATCATAATAGTTGTTTATAAAACCATACTTGGTTGGACTTATCCTCGACCACTCTATTCAAATACTTCATCAAAACCGTACAAACTAAACACAACGGAGTTGGCACTTTAGGTTGAGCTGGCATTTGGTAATTGTTAGTAATCAGTTGTCCCAAATTTAATCCCGGGAAGATCACTTTAGCTTGATTCGTCTCGGCAATCATATTAGTTTCTTATAACAAAACAAAAAATGTATATGAGTATTAAATTAATATTAATAATTAGTTTACTATAAATACTTAATTACCAATGTCCCCAGCAGTATCAAACAGAGTCTGAGGAGGTTTACAAACATTCAATAGGGTGCATATGTCTTGGCCATTTAATTGAGCTATAATCATGTCGACAAGCGACTGGAAATTGTTTTCGACAAATGCTGTACATTCTGCTTTGTAATGGGAAGGGAATTTGGAGCACAATTTCTCTAATTTCTTAATAATTTCAACCTGTCACGAAACAAAAGTTCAACATGAAAAATGAATGTTTTTCTATTGAAAGCAATAATGTCTATTTAATATTAACCTCGTTATCCTTATTTTTCAATTCAGATTCTAAAGTGGACATAAACATAACGCACAATGTGCAACTCTGAGAACTCTTAACCGTAGAAACTATGGAAATTTCTTGCGCCGGACAAAGTTTAAGTTCTGGGCAAATCTAAAATTATAAATAAGATATTAATTCATGTTAGGGATGTTCACTCGAAAAATGAACTCATTTAACAGCTTAAAAGTTTAAATAAACACAATGTAAGAAACTCACAACAGACGGATCAACTTCTTGAGCGACTAACGATATGAATGCATCTCCATATTGGTCTACAAACTGTTTACATTCTGGAGTTAATGAATTTGGTAATACTTTACAAGAAGATTCCAAAGCACTGCGAATTTCCGCTTCAGATTTCGGATCTGTTACAACTTGTTGAACGTAATGCAACACGGATTGACACACAAAACATGTAGTCTTTTCCTTAGGCATGTCTACTTGACCAACTTTAAAATAACACAAATTAAAAACTATTATTAAATATGTTTTAAACAGTAATTAAAGGTTCTTAAAAAATTATAATACTTTTGAGGTGAATATTTTGATAGTACACATCAATGACAGGAGATTTTACATTTGATTGCATATGTTCTTCTTTTTCTAAAGTGCTCACTTTTTCTAAAAGTTCAGTCGGGATAAGTGGGAATGGCTAAACAAAGATAAATAAATATTTTATAATTATATTTGACTTTTGTAAATATATATATAATTTCCCACCATCAGGTTTTTGTACTCGAAAACATTTGGGCCGCTTAACGAATTGGGACAAATTCCAACGTCAGTGCATACTACTTTACCGTCTAGTTCACTCGTTAGGAAAGTATATATGAGTTTATAGTTTTGAACTACTAAAGACAAACACTGAAAAAAAAAAATATTAAAAGCTATTTATGTTCATAATATTTAACATTTTTACACAATTATTTTGAATACCTCTTGTGAATAAGCTCCTGTTTGTTTGCAAAGTCCTTTCAGTACATCTAAGAATTGTTCTTCGGTAGAGTTTGAGATGAGAATATCTCTAAGATGTTTAACTAATTGTTCACAGAATTCACACGTCAATTCGTCGTTGACTTTATTTTTTTTTTCACTCTTAATTATGCCTCGCTCGCCTGCAGTACTGATTTCGACACCCATCAGAGCACTTTTGGCTTTCTGGAATACAATATAATATCATTGTCGAATGAAGTCATTTTTACCTTGATTACGGTAAATTAAAATTTGTCTAACCTCATAGCCATCAGCATGTGGATGGAATGCTTCTGAGCACATACCGCTCAACATACAAACGTTTCTCTTAGTGAATTCGGTTTTAAGAGTATCATAAATGGAATCAATATTTTTCAAAACAATGGCACTGCACGCATCTGAGAAGGAACTTAATTCTCCACATAACTAAAAACAAAAAAAATTATAAGAAAATATTATTGGTAAAATATTAACAAACCACTCACAGTCCAGATTTTATTTAGTATTTGTCGTTTTGAATGAAGCTGCATCATAATTTCAGCTTTTTCCATGACGACTGCACATTTTTCACAAGAATGGTACACTTCGGCATTGGCGTCCAATACCGGTTCCTAAAAAAATTTATTCTATTAGTTAAACAATTAATGATCACTAGAATAGCTGTTATATTGTTTCGTTACATTTTTGTTTTCAAGCAGAAGCTGGTCAATGTTTTTATTATTACACAAGCCGGCAACTGTACAAACAACATTTGGATCCATTTCCGAAGACAATGTGTCGACGAGCTCGGGTATAAAATCGTCGGCCAACTTCCTGCATTCTTTTTTCACAATTTTAAGTGGCAACAAATTACACGATCCATAGAAAACTTGTTGTAATTCATCCTAGAAACAAACAAAAATTTGTCAAAACAATTAACAAAAAATAACAGAAAAGGAACATTGTTAAATTATTGGCATAACTCTCTCCAAAATGATTGAATACAATTAACTATTTTGATGGATTAATTTCACAAAGTAATCTCAAAAAAAAATGTATAGGTCAAAATTAAAGAATTTTCAATCACCACAGAAATGAAGTTAGTTCACCTAGACAACTGAATATACTGATAAAATTTTAGGAAAACATTTGAATCTGCACAGGTTCTATTATTAGATGTAAGAATTGCACACACATACAAACATATACACAACCAGACTGTCAAGTTGAATGGTCTATTTTCAATAAAAATATATATACCCTACTCCCATCCCGTGATTGGAAAAAAAATGTCCAGGGAACTGAGCTTTTTCTCAGAGGAAACAAAAATACATACCAACGTTGCATTGCTAGTAAGAGTGTCGCGGGCTTCTTTTACCATGTTTTTACAAATAGTACAAACGTCATCATTGTCTTCTGGGTACTTTTGTTTTAGCCACGTTGTTTGGATGCAAAAATTGACCGCTTTACAACCGGCTGCATTACTGAAATACAATATTAAAATATATTATAAAACCGAGCTATAAACAATAATTTTGAAAATCGGTGAAGTCAAAGGAAAACTGGTCAGATGCGATTAATAGAGGCATCTAAATATGTTGTACTCGCAGAGATCATAACCAAAAGAGAATTACGAAAGGAGAATTATAGTATTAAATATTAATTAATATTTACAAGTGACTTAAATTTTATAACACAAATATAGGTTGCGATCACCAAAATTTCAGCAGATAAGGACAACAATAAAAAAAGTTAATTAGAATTATTACAATTGTACTTATTTAAAAAAAAAAAAAAAGTTAAAAATCAATGTATATAATGTAATTAATGTGATGTCTGATGCATTTCATTTCAAGGTTTGGTAAAACAGTTTTACCATGCTATTGGTACATGGGTTGAAAAACAGCTGAGTAAACAAATGTTTAAATAACATTCATATAATGTAACTAAATAACATACCAACGGAATATCTCTTACAAAAAAATAAAATAAAAACTACTATAAAATAATCGACGGAATAATATATATTTAAAACATTATCTATACTATTAATATATTATAAATAAAATTCAAACAAATAAAATCAATTTGGGTGGATAATAAATTATTTTTAATTTAAAAAAATTAGTTTTACAGCACATATACGTTTTTAGAAATATATGTTTTTGAGCTAGCATGACAGCTGCATTTTTTTAAGAATATTGGTTTGTCAGTTTTATGTTAATTGCCAATATTAATAAAGTTGATACTTCATCTAAAGATCTAATAACCTTTGATTAAAGGACCAGTTTTGAATTCTTGTAGTTAAAATATTGATTTTTTTTGTAAAATTTTTCTTAAGTTATACTGCTATAATAAAACATTCTAAATAAAATATATACAATTCATAAATTAGAAAGTATAATAGTCATTAAATATGTATTTATTAAAATAATTAATTGGAATCTAACAAATAGTTATGGTAGAATACATAAATTTCCAAAAATTAAAAAGTTTTTGAAAATCAACAAAGCTTTGTAATTATTTTTGTCAATAAGTGGAAGAGAAAACTATAGGATATTAGATTACATCAGAAGAAGTTATTGACACACAAAGAGACCGAGGATTTTACATTCATAATATTATAGTTCTTAACACTTATAATTGGCTACCTGATTTTCAGGGTTAACCAGTTTTTCTTTCAAGTCCTATTGTAATCATGACTATATTTTTTTTTATTTATATTATACTTTTGCACTCAAATTGTGTACAATTTTTTTTTCATCTAGCTAGAGTAGATTAATTATAACATTATATATGTAGATTGATTTAGTAATATTATTAATAGCTTTTGTGTTCAACTATAGGTTATCTAAATAGTGTATCATTTGAAATTCTTATTATAATAGATAAGGTCGGTTAAATAGTCATAAAAATTCGTATGAAAACATTTTTTTAAATAATTTGGCATACATTGACATGTTCATTTTGACAAAGGTCTGACAACTATCATCTATTTATAATTTTATATTATATACATTTATCAATATGGCACATAGAATAATACTTGACAGTAGTTAAAATTAAGCTGATCATTTTTGAAGTCTTAGAACACTATGTACAGCAAAGTTACTAAATGAACATATGTATCAATAGTCGATACAATAATAATAATTAAGATTTGTATACCAAAGTTTTAAAATAGCACATAAGGTAAGATTATGTTTATTTCGAGATAAACAATATTGATTGTATTGACAATGACTAGTGAAAAAAAGGTCATATTATATCAATACTGATAAGTTTGATATTATTACCTGTTTTTATTTTTAAATAGGATTTTTCCATTCTCACACAATATGATCATGCAACTTTTCTGTTGCAATCAATTAATATAAGATTCGATTAGGTGTTTTTCGACAAACCCTTAGAGTTACAATCGTACATCGCTTCGGTACTTACGTTATGTTTCTACACCAGTAAGCCGGTCCGGATGTACATTCTTTTTCTCCGAGCAGTTGGGCTCGTTCACGTCGGACGGGCTCTTCCGCAAACGCCGAACAGGCACCTGCACGTCAAACAAATGAATGAGACGATTATCAGAAAATTAGATGTAAAATATTTTAGATTGGTTTTCAGTAGACCAATTCGTTTACTCACCCAAGAGAACGCATCCCAGACAGGCTAGTGCGAAAAAACGTAGGACGTCGTTTCTTGTCATTTTCTCGCCGGGCGAGCGTCACTCATCCAGAGAGTGTTGAAAATGATTTAGAAATGTGTGTGTGCACTGTGTAAGTCTGATGTATTGGCCAACAAAGGTTGTGTAAACGGTTAGCACTTGACGAGTCCACAAAACACGAATCGAGGGAACCAAATGCGATATGCGGGGCGACAATAAAAAAAAACTGCGACGTTAAAACGAGAACGGCAGTGTTGTAATAAAAAAAAAAAAAAAATTAAATTCTAACCGATTACGTCGTTTTATCGTGAGTCGTCCGTTTAACGTAGCCCGTAATAATAATATATTGTGTGATTAGTCATCACAGCTGCCGTATACCGCTTTTGTTGTTGTTGTTCAGCTGTTGTTGTGTGCCGTGTATAATATATATTTTATAATACAATGCGCTGTCTGTGTGCATTGGTATACTGTACAGCTGATAAGAAAATATCATGTTATTAACCGCGTTTCGTGAAGGGTAGAGTGACCTTTGGTGCAACAATAAATATCATCGTGATTTTTGCCTGACCCAACCAAATGTAAATAATAAATCTTTTTTAAACAAAAATTGATTTACTGCAATAAATGTGAATATTTTTTATAGCGTCGATCTGAGATCGTATTGGTTTTACAATGATGGGTTTATATTTTCGGTCTGGACCACAATGACCACCGAACTAATATCTTCGTAAAGGTAGCATGTCTGTTGATCAGAAATCTTAACCGAAAAATACTAAGAAAAGCCGCAAATACAAATAAAAGATTACCCCTTCCCCTTGAAAATCGAGAAAAACACCCTACAATTTACACATTTTTTATCTTAAAAATACGGCACCATATAACTCTTTGAAAAACTGTTGAGCTACCAAATAAATTTGGGTAGAATATTCTTTAGATATAGTTTATGTTTTGTTTTTATTAGTGTTTTGAACGTGCTAATCGAGAATTTATAGCTCCCCGAGTTCATCCAATGGGTTATTTTGTTTAGGTCCAGCCATGACTTAAAATTTAAATATACTAGATTATTACATATCCCACTTTATTATATTATCAATTCACAAAATAGCAGTAAGGGCACATAATTTTTCTTTTGATAAATATATTCATAATACCTTTATAAAATAAAATATGAATTTGATTAGCTGAACCCTTATGCTGCCATTTTATTTTTATCATCGAACATGTTGATGGAGAGGGGGTAGAGATGCAGTAACCTAGAATATTTAAGCCATGAGCAATAGCCATTATCAATTAAGTAATTTTTGAAATATTTTTCCAAAAAAAAACTAGATAGTTCGATTTCAAGAAATACCGAAATTTCTGGATTTTTAGTTCCAGAGATATTTTATTTCTTGCTTAGATGACGCCACAATTCCCCCTAATTTAAAAATACAAAATTGCATTTATATTTTTGTCTTTGTTAAACTTTAAATTCCAAATTGAATACTTTCAAAAAATAATTTTACTCAGGTATACATTTTGTGTTTATTTTGACTATTTTAAACAGGGAGTAAAAATGTTTTTGAAAACGGTTTGAAAAAACGTTTCTTTACATTTTCTTTATACGAATGAAATTTTGGAAATTTCTTTACACGTTTTTACTCCCTGATTTTAAATACAATTTTGCATTTGAAATGTATTTTGGTAACTATTTTGCCCATCTCTGATAATATAATAATTAATAAAAATTAATAACCACAATAGTTATTATTGTGTTATCACTTATCAGTTATTTACATCTTCTATAACAGTTTACAGTAAAATAGCTAGGTATATAAAATTGTTATAAATTTCTATTTTTAATATCAGAATAGGTATGCGTTGAGCATTTAATAGTTGACAAAGGTCAAAACTGTACCAAACACTAAACACTTAATAATTAAAATATAATTATTAAATTATTATTTATTATATTTATTTACTTCAAGTTCTAAATGACTTCATAGAGTAACATTGTAACAATTATACAATAAATACCTATAATATATTACTATAATTATTCACAATTTTTTTTTGGCTCTGGAGGGGTTTGACTCCCCCCCCCCCCGTAAGTTCGGCACTGTACTATGTTATGTAGGTAACACTATACTAGTTGTAACTTGCTTATTGACTATTTAAATATTCTTACACCGAAAAAACTATGCATAGTAATGATGCTGTATGGCCTATGCGAATACTCATGAGGTAGGTAATAATATGTTAATAATTTGAAAAATTAGTACATTTTGAATTTTTAAACGTCTATTTAAAAATAAACGTAATGACTAGGTTTAAAATTTTGTTCACATCAAAAATAGTAATAATTCCTTGTATGTTCTCAATGAATATTATTGGGTAGGTATTATACAATATATATTCAGCTTGTGCTAAAATACAAATCTATTTTACAATCCTAGTATTAAAAATAAAACCACATTGTTAACGACGACCATATACAAATATAATCTATGGTCAACGATTGAAACAACAAAATAATAATTTTGGTTTCATGTAAATACTAACAAAAGAATATGGTAACAGTTAACATAGCTTAAGGGATTTTGTTTCAAAAACTAAGAAGTGTGTTCATCTTACTGATTAATCAGTGTTTTCATATCAGTGTTTTACTATTAATGTAGGTATCGTATACTTATTTTAATTACTACATCGGCAAATAGTTGCTGCCTATTTGTTTTAACAATTATCATATAATTGTGCAATGTCAAGTAACATAATATAACTATAAACGCGCTCTTTGTTGTATATTAACACTTCTTAAATGTTTACTTTCATTATTATTAATAATTACTTGTAAGTTGTATTATTTTTATATAAGTATGCACCTCTATATCAAGGCACCATATTATGTACCTATTATGATAATTACAGAGATAATTATTAATTGATTCGCGGTCTAGAAAATAAATATAATCGAACAATCATAAATTAAAAATAATAATCGCTAATTAAAATTTCAATCTGTATCCGCCATTTTGAAAACAGATTAACTTTAATTTATTTTGTATACAAGATTTAGGAGTTTATTAATTGTATTTTTTTAGATAAATTTACCGCTTTTATTTGGTAGTTTGAAATGAGAGCGATGAAATGTCGTTACCAACCAGCTGTTAAAAAAATGTTGAGAATATTTAAACATTTTGTAAGACATTCAAATTCCAACAAATAAATAGTTATAAAATATTTTGAAAACATTAAAAGTTTTTTTTTAAATATGTTAAAAATGATAAATTTGTTTCCAACTGGCCTAGTTGAACTGGGTAGTATTAGCTATACTAGTTTATGAGTAATTATTACTTATCTACGAGCTATAAGTGTTTTTTTCATTTTTTGGTCTGTCATAGTCATAGTGACTTTTAAAACAGTAAACAATAGACATTGAAATATACACAACACCATAGTTGTGATAGGCAATATATTATACGATTTATAACCATATTTGCCTTTACCAACAGATTTTATCAACTCCTCTCTTGTGACTTGTCTAATTCCTAACTAAACCACTGGTAGTTGTTCCTAAAAGATACGTTTTGTTATGTATAATATAGCCGTTTGATTAAGCGAATGTATTGTACATTTCATTCGCGGACTATAGTAAATCATGATTATTGATATAATAAACCTACCAGCATCAACCACCATTAAATAATATTATGGGGGTCCATTTTGTATCATTATTCATTGAAATCCCATAGCTAATCATAACTTCAACGTTGCGCTTTTATAAAGTAAATATTTAGGAAATAAACTATAATGTAGCCCACATACACATGTACAAAAAAAAGGTGTATACTCGTATTATACATATATATATATACAGGGTGATCCAACTAACGTAAGACACTCATTTTCCCTGAAAATATAAATATTTTGAAAACAATTTTTTTTCTAAACTCTTAGGTACATATTTTACTACATTTTTTAATATTTTAAAACATTTTATCGCCAATCTTTATAAGCCAAAAAAGGGGATTTTTGGTTTTTTTAAATGGCAACATATGTTTTTAATTACATAAATTTGTAGACAAAAAAATTAAAAATGTGTTAGCGTTAAAATTTTTTATTTTTATTAAACTGTTCATTAGTTATGACTTTGTTAAGATACTACATTTCCTCTTAATAATAATCATATTTCTTCAGTTTGTCCAAAACCGGTAGCACATCAAATTCATATTTATGTTCGCATTGTCCAATTGGCAATAACATTCTAACAACTAGGAATTCACTATAAAAGATTTTGAAATAGACAAAGGTTCTTATCTACAGATTACTTAGATTATAGGTTATTTATTATATCTGATTATGGTACAGAGTACGGTAACATGTCAAATTATTTGTACGCAATGTAATAGAACTACTCGTCTTTGTAGTAACGATTGAAAATATTAAGAAATACAGTCAAAAAATCAAATCTTTATAAAGTCATAACAAATGAACAAATAAATGAAAATTCAAAACTCAAACGCTAACATAATTTTTAATTTTTTGTCTACAAACTTATATAATTAAAAACATATGTTGCCATTAAAAAAAAACAAAAATCCCCCATTTGGGCTTATAAGGATTCGTGATAAAAATTTTCAAAATATTTAAAAATGTAGTAAAATATGTACCTAAAAGTTTAGGAAAAAAATTGTTTTTAAAATATTTATATTTTCAGAGAAAATGAGTGTCTTACGTTAGTTGGATCACCCTGTATATATATATATATATATGGTAGTTTAGCTGAGAATGTATTGGTTTTATTGAAGTTTATTTAGAAGAAATAGGTTCAACATTTGAGATATCGTCGGTCTAGACTTAAAATTAAAAAATCGCCTTAATATTAAAAAATATTTAATAATATTATTTAAATTATATAATACTATTGTTATTACCTATATTTAAATCATGCTTTACATAACGCACACATATCTTGTTTGTCAAATAGTTTAATGCATCTCATAATAAACTGGTTTCCTGATGGTTTTAAACAAGATTGTTGTTAATTGTTTTCTACTTATATTAGTAACTTTATACTTAATGATTTTAACCTAAATCAATGATTTTGAAAATCATGTTATGACTTTTAATCATCTACTTATTTATCGTTGGGAAACTTATAAGTCATACAAACCCTTTGTCACACTATTTTCTCTATCCCTATTTATTGTCATTTAGTTTTCAATGTTTATACCTAGCAATTTTAAGTCTTAGTGTATTCTAATCAATCCATTTTAGTCTTAACTCTTAGACATCTAAGCGGTCTATTACGCATTCTGCATTCAGACTATCTTACCACTTCTCACATATTCGTTCTTGTACCCAGTAGAAATCATCTCCTGCACTACTTATTTTTTCTGCTTTTCATTATTGTAACTACATATTTTACCTTCGACTTTCAGGGGATTTTACCGAAGTAGGGGGTTTTACCTCTTAAATACTTCAGTTTTCAGATCTCTTTTAAGCCTAAAAGTTTTCTCTCGAAGCAAGATTTGATCACACAATTCGTTGTAATGCATTGATGTTTTAAACAACTTTTATGTTTTAATAAAGGAAATATACTGCTATTATTTGTAATTACAAAAATAAGTTGTTCAATTGATACATTTATACATATAATAATTTATATTTTAGAGTTTCATAAAATATCTACCTAATAGCTAATAGAAATTCGAATATTGTTATTAGTTAATAGTTATTGGCGAATGATGACACTTCAAATTTTTTAAACTGCCTATAAATATAAATATTTTAAATAATAATATTATGCAATTGCGTAGTGATTATCCCAAAACAAAATAAATGTCAAGCACCGTTATTGGTTCAGAGCGTTCTAAATCAATACTATAGCATGAACAGTTATAAAATCGAAACAGTATGTAATAAAATAGGATATTAAATGTCAACCTATTACTATAAAATTTATAATTTTTAAATTTTATTATTATTATTTTATTTTAATTTTATACATTTTATAATAATAGGTTATGTTACAAGTTTTGCCTTCATTTCTTTATTTTTAAATTCGAATAAAAATTATTTATTTAACGACCTAACAACTTAATTGCTAATTCATAAATACTATTTTTCTTAAATTACAAAATAACGAACGAAATTATTATTGAATAAATGTTTTTTGACCTTGGCTAAAAGTCACCAACTCAAAGTTGCTCGTGCCTCGTGTCGAACAGTAATAATAGATCTTTATATAGATCCACCTATTTTTAATTTTTAACTTATATATATATATATGCATTTGTTAACAGAACTCATTGTGATATACGCGTTGCACAAAAGACATTTTTTATTTATTTTTTAAACCAATAGAGTCTTTGACTTTCAATATAGCTTGTTAACTTCAGTGATTTGTCTTAACTCTGTATTTTTCCTTGTGCGCTATGAGTTTAATTGGCTGTCAAATATTAGGCCACATATCTTTCTTAGTACTTTATTTTCAAATGCTAGTAGTCGTCGCTGATAGTTATTTTTTTACTTCTTAGGCGATTTTTCCTTTTGATATTTTCTAGATTGAATTTTGGTGTCTCTTTATATTCGTTTAATCCTTTTATAGTTTACGTTTGATCCTGGAATTTATTAGAAAATTATCTGTGTCGCAATCCGACCTCCGGGAACTTCTTACATCTACAACACTAGAACTGAATCTAATATTAATGAGCACGTGATCAACTTGATTCTCTGTTCGTCTGTTAGGGGACTTTCTAGTACATTTGTGAATATTTTTATGTGGAAATGTTGCACTGCTGATAGTCATTCTCCTGGATGTAGCGAAATTGATGAGTCTTTGTCCATTATTATTGCTAATCTCATGTGCACTCTGTGTGCCAATCGTAAGTATGCAGGAAGTCGTCTCTCTTTCTATTTTAGCATTACAATCTCCCATTTTGATTATGACAATGTTTCCGGTGGGTCATCATAAATTTTTATAACTCGTTGTAAAATGCATCCTTATCTTTTCATCCGTATTTACAGTGGGTGGTTGTACGTAAATAATGAATATATTCATGGGCTTTGTTTTTAACTTCAGATATTGGGTTAAATTATTTTACACAGGATGAAAACTCTTGATGTTCAGCTAATGCCGTACCAAACTGATGAGTATCATCTAAACCAGCGGTTCCGAACCTGGGGGTAATTACTCCCCAAGGGGTAAAACACGATTTTTTGAGGGGTAAAGACTTAACTATTTTTGTGCCGTCCACAGACCAATATTGTCGATTTTCTGGAAGGGAGGGGTATTTGTTAATATCTAACCTAATTTATGGGTAATAGTCTCAAAAAGGTTGGGAACGGCTGATCCAAACCTTTATAGTTGTCGACTTTAATTGGTCCAGTTCCGGTCCATTTTACTTCTTGCAGTGCCGTCACGCTCCCGTTCTATATAAACTTAAAATGATCCGAGTCGCAATCTTAATCTCCCTTAGTTTCCGATTTCCGTTACGGTTCGATATTCCAGGTATTCCAGTAATTATCCGAGGCAGTGATGGTGGTTTCTTAACAAGTGGTTTTTAAGGTGTAGAGTTGTTAGCCTTGTGATCAATAAGTATTTTATGCAACTAATTCATAGTTTTAATTTTACCAAAAAGAGGTAGTTTTGCAAGGTTTTACGTAAGAGTATTACAGAAATTTGTACCTAGTCTATAAAAAGTTAAACTTGAAAAATTCTGTCGTTTTTAGAGTTTAGACTTAGAGGGAATAGATAGTAATTACAGATGTTTTGTTATACAATTACAAAGTATCGAATTTATGTACCTACTTTATGATTAATAAGACACTTGTCGAGCGGTTGAGAAATTATAGTGTCTACAAATACAAATATCATTTGAAATTTAAATGTTAAGGCATAAGCTATGCATTCTACAGTGACATTGCTGATCGGTCTAATTTGAATCATTAGAACATTAAATACTGGATATTTTTTAAATTTTGTACAAAATGTTGCATAATTAAAAAAAAATGATCATAATAATAACAATAATATGTTTATTGTATTTTACACGTGCGTCAAGATAATTGACGCACGTCAATTGATAAATTGATAAATTGTTTTGCTTTTGAATTTTAACCGTTTTAGTGTGGTACCCGCATTTCCAATTCGTTCGTTTGATCAATATGCCTGCGCTCTATTTTTTAGTATAGGTACCGAAAAGCAACATGGACGAAATCACCCAAACGGTTATGACTCAAACGGCTGTCTCGTAAGTACCCGCAGTCGGTTTACTTTTCCGTATTTGTAGTGTAATAGATCATAATATAATAACGTGTACATGTTATTTTATATATCCAAAACGAAAAAGCAATGTGGCGCAGACAAGAAAATAAAACCTATTTTCTAGCTAAGCACTAACAGTTTGCAAGTTTTCTTTTCACTATAGGGTCTAAGATATCGCGTGATGTGTGTATGTTCCTTGTACACGGCGGTCCGAGATATAGCGTGTTTTTCAAGAATAACAACGAACAATATTATAGTTTTTTTTATTTTTTGTTTATAGTGTTACTTTGTAATTTTTTCTATAATACAATATGTGCATAATATTTTTTTTAATTGTCGGATAAGAGTAAAGGTTATCAAACAAAACATTGCCAATATTTATCGTTATTATTTATTAATAGGAATTAAGTATCCACTCTTATTTACACTTATTCCCATTTTACCGGGTAACTTTCTATTTTTTAGTTACTATTGATAATTGAAACTAATAATTACTAATAGCTAATAATTAAGACTGGATCAGCCATTCCCTTTCCGGTGACGGACTTACAATTCGTTCCGAAAAGCAAATATGCTAACATACTCTTAAACTCTTTGAAGAATGCAGCCATGTGTCTTATTTGTTTTAGGGATAATTTTCTGTTGAAATAATAATTAATATTTTATTTAACCAATTATATAGTATACCTGAAAATTTTACACTTTCGGTGAAAATAATAATAATGTAGTTTTTCTTTATGATATAAAACACCTAGTTGATTGAGCTAAGGGCTTTTTGGAGCTCATTCTATCTGTTCTGTATTCTTAGTATATCGTGTTTATGTCACACTATTTATTTTACTCTATGTTTATAATATTATTATTTTTTTTTGCATATGATATTGATATGTGTTTATCAATAGTAGTGTGTTAATCTATTAATTTATTTGTTATAAATTTTATTCAAATACTAAACTTCTACTAATATATACTCTTTTACTATAAACATAGTGTACAAGATTTTCAGTACCTAGCAGAGTACCTAGTCTATTTTTAGGATATTAAAAATAATTGACTTAATCCTTTATGCCAGTTCAGACGTACAAGAAATACACGCACAGGTGATAATACGAGGCATGGACAGTGGACTAAGAGGCTTTATCATCTATCTCTCATTTTAATTTCTAAATCCACGCTTATACACAATTTTCAATTTCATAAAATCTGTAGCCATATAAAAAATTGTGTTAGTTGTTAGTAATAAATATAACTAGTGATGACTAATTATTATGTCATTGTGCAATTAAAGGTTTGGTTCGAATAACTTGCTAAGAACCAAGTGGAAAATTTGGAATATCAAAGAAAAAGAAAATGTTTATTAATGGGTTTGATAGTTTTCCACGCTTATAGCACAATGATTATATGCGATATGAAAATTCTAAAAAGTGTTATGATTCTTTAAAATAGTTTTAGATTGGTTCATAGTATATTTTTTGCAAACTCAAAATTGGTCAATACTCAATATGACGTTATATGAACTGAATTCATCGATATATTACATTTTGTTTAGTTTACACCGTGCTACAAATTCAGATATCTAACACAATTACACAATATATCTAAAGTTATATACCTTAGGTTAGAAAATATGTGGGTAAATTTAATGACAATAATACTGGTTGTCAATAATAATATTAAAATATTGAAAAAACGCTGCTTGCATAAACATGACCGTAATGAAACTACGAAAACTTAAGGTACATGTTGTTAGTAAGCAGCGTGTAAATAAGTAAACTTTTTAGTATTATTCAAAAAAATTAAAATCGTGGTTATGAATTACAGAATTTGTAAATACAAAATGTTATGTCTACGGATCATAATGATTTTTGTTAAAGCTGAAGATTAACTCATTAATTATTCAACTCGAGTTTGTCTAAAATAACAAGGAGCTCAACATTATTTTCTTTCGAGGCTCATCTCAATTTGCATTTGATTTCAGACAAAAAAATAATTTCTGTTCGAAGAATAAGATAATAAATATGTTATTCTAAGAACTGAAGATCCACATTTTTTATTTAAGTTTTTAATTAATATAATAGTAAAGATAAATTTGTTTTTAAAAAAATCTACAGGTTACTTTGGAGTTCATATCAAAAATAAATTACACGTGTAAACTGAACATAATACTATATTCTATACAGTATTGATTATTCAATTGCTAAGCTGTAATGTTATATGTTTAATAAAAGCTAAATTCGGTATATGTATATGTATATTATTCTTTCATAACAATCCGCATACAATGGGACATGGGTGTCGTTGATATTTGAAAGAACTCGTGTGTGTGTGTATGTATACTGTATATTATATTACAGTGAACACAAACGTCGGAAGGCAATGATAAAATAAAATATAAAATATGTTACGAAATAACCTTGTGCAGAGTACGCTTTTTGCAAGCCATCTCAGATCCGTTTGAAGTTAAGTCAGGCCTAAGACAGAGTAATCATTATCATTGCTTATAATAGTATAGGTTTTAAACTTGTGCTGAACATAATTGGGACGGTGTCCTTTTTTTTTTCAACGAACACAAAGTGAGACCAGTTTTGTCGCATTATAAGACAGGAACATATTTTATCCTATCAACAAAATATTCTTCAGAGGACGCTTTCCACTTGTAATTTGTAGTGTAAAATTAAGTTTTCGATGGATCGAATAATTTTTTGTCTGTGAATTTTTAAAGTAGAAGTTATTTAATATTTTCTATAAATTACTAAAAATTAGTGAATTATGAAAAATTAAAAATCGCTCAAGCATAGATAAATTGTATTTATTGTAAAAATGTTGTGATTTTACAAAAATTTCAAGACTTTTCGGTTAAGAATCGCGCAAATCTATTTTAATGAAAAAACGCATTTTTTTTTCATAAAAATTACTATGCTAAGCTGACAAAAAAAATTACAACCAATAAAGAATCCTCATTATTCCTTAATAAATATGTGGTTAGCGTTCGTTTAAGAAAACTATTAAATAGTATTCTATTGACAGCAACAGCAATCAATAAGAATGCGGGCAATTATAATAAGATTATTTTATTAATATTGCGAAATAAGATGTACTGCAATAACAACTATATCATTTCCAATTCAAAGCTACTAATTTACAAAATTGTCAACAAAAATTCAGACGCAAATTATAGTGAAACGCCAATTAAATTTGATTGTTATTAAATAGAAAAACACTTAAAAAATATTCAAAGTAGGAAGTTGAGAGTTCAATTAAAAAACAATCCGGTTATCATTTTTTATTACAATTTTTCAACGTTTCTCTAGAGAATTTTTATTATCCTTTTTTTTTGTACATTTCAGTTAGATTTGGTGTAACAAACAAATGGAATACGCAAAATCAAAATTCAAATAATATATTGTTTATCGTGTAAATAAAAATTAAATTATTTAAAAATAATAAAGGCCAATAGAATATTAAAAAATGTATGGTGTTATAGTGTTTATTATAGAGGTAAGTATTCGTTTACTATCTCAACGTAAAAAAGTAACTGGTGTTTGGTGACAAATGTAATTTAATAATTGATCTATTATATTATCTAGTATATTGGTTTTTGAAGGACTTCGTAAATAATAGTTATAGAGGAAGCATGCATAAATACAGTTGAAGTTAATTAACCGAGTTCAAGGTGTAATATAATGCGTAAATAATATTAAACAACTCTGAAATGTCTTTATTGTTTAAAACAGGGCTAAAGAAAGTTGTATTTTTTGTTCGTGAATATGTCTTTTTGTTTGCTAAGCGGTTGCGAGGAGAGAGAATTTAAAACGTTAATATATGTTACTAATTTTTTTACATATTGATATTTTAATCGCATAAACGAATGTAAAATATATATTTAGCTGCCCTTTTTTTTAGAAGAACTAAATAGGCGAGATAGCTTTCCTCGCTAATTTCTTTAGTAGTTCCACCTTGTGTATTTTTTTTCATATATAAAAATGTTCTATACAAACTGGCAACTGCATTCACAAAGAAAGAAAAACTAACTAGAGGGAAAATTTGGCTTTAATTTGAAATTTTTTTTAAAACAACCCAAAAGCAATTCAAATTAGAATCTACTTCCATTTTTTATGCAGTTAGTTATTTGTTAATTATATAACTTAAAAATTGTAAATAATATTTATTATTATAAATAATATTTTTTAATCACTTGACAGTTTTTTTTTCAACAATTTTGAATTTTCTTAGTCGCGCATGTTGAGATTGTTGAGTAAAAAATAGAGCATTGTTTAAAATTTATAATTATTCTAAAAAGTAATTTTAGTCGTGCAATGTGCAACAACTAAACACGGGAAATTAAGACTATAGATTAATACTATACATTGACGACGTATTATTTTGCTCGTGACTTGTCCATTTTAGAATTTTTTACAATACATAGTTATTTCTATAAAAACCAGACTGATAAATATTCCTGGATTCCATTTTCTATACATTTTTCATAATGTTTTGTTATTTGACAATAGAACAAGTGCGATCTTGTATTCCCGTTCAAATCATCAGTGACTTAAATGTGATCAGTTTTAATGTGCCATGTTTTCATGTGAGTAACACTTAATCAAGTACACTATAATGACTCACTCGGTATCACTCTTTAGGATTAGCTTAACTATTTTAGAAATACCCGATTAACCATTTAAATAAACTAAAAAATACAATAATAAAAGATATTGTATCCATCGCTAAAAATTGTCTTAGGCCTTAAAACGGCCACCACGGAATTTTGATTTACTACTTAGGTATACCGTGTACAAGTTCATATATTTTATGACAGTATTGAAAGTTTAAACGACCACTCTCGAAAATGTTAAGAAAAATCTTTAATTGTAGTGGGTAGCTATAACCGAAAAAAATAGAAAGCTGGATCCGGGCTATGATATGTTTCGTCAAAGTTGATATAAAACTACAAGCAATATTAATAAATTGGTACCTACTTTAGAAGCTTAAAATTACAAGTATTTTGCTAGTTAAATTGGTTAGATTAGATACAATTTATAGTATTATTGTTATTAAATTACCGGAATAGCGTGTTTGGATAATACCTATAATTATAATACAATACGAGTTTCGTCAAAAACCAGGAAACAAGGGAACAAACTTTTGAAATTACCGAAGAAATGGCCTCAAGCAAGAGCAGTAACCGTAAAACGCAAGCAGTCGCCTGAACGACCCCGTGCCATCAAGACTATGTCGAAAGTAAAGCCTTCGATTTCGCACAATTTCGTGGAAAATTTGTTCAAGCAGACGAGATTTACCAAGTAAATATAGCACATATTGTGAAACGCGTACACGTACGTAACCCGCAAATGCTATGTAACAAATGCTTTATAATATGATTAAAACCTAACCGTAGGTATATCGTATCACCCGCTGCCATCTATTATTAATAATTGTAGTAAAGGGATTGGTTTTTTTTTTAAGTAGGGATTTTGTTTACATAACTTCTCAAAACAAATTTAAAAAAAAGCTAGTAGTTTTCAAAAAAACGATTTTGAGAAAACCGCCAGCGTTTAAAGTTTAAATTAAAAATAGATAGACTGGGCGTACCTCTTGTGTAAGCTATAATCAGTAAAATAATCAAATATTCAGATATTTTACTGAACAATTTTCAAATAAGACTTGCCTACAACATGTATATGTTTATCAAAGTAAAACTAAGGAAAACAAATTATACAGGCGTTTAATCGTATTTTGGTTATTTTAGAAGCTTACACGCAAATCACTAATATTAACAAAATTAACTAAGCCCACGCAGATATTTTAAACTTAAAAAATTCAAAGTTATACGTATTTTTTTTTTTTTATAAATACACATGGAAAACAATGTTAGGTATGAGAAAATAGACATTACCATGACTTACTTACTAGTTGCTGGCACATAAATAATATAGAACAGGATATTTTCATATTTTTATACACGTTTATAGTTATACAATATAGTCAATAGCTATATAATATACAGTTGGCTGTTTAAAAATATTAAGCATCTTACAGATACCTAATTATTCAACACATGTCTTATTGGCCTACACACAGCACTTAGACGAGAGACACACTGGGAAAATTTATTTCGTTAGTTAAAAACGCGTGTATTTAAATGGAGCAACATACTGTTGTTTCCGAAACGTTATCTCAAATTAATTTTGTAAACAAGTTTCATGAAATAAAACATAAAAAAACGAATAAAAAAGTATGTATATTAATTAGTGTAAACTTATGCACACTTATAAAATAATGTATTGCATTATTTTGTACTTAATACAATATACTATGTAAACTTATTAGCATAATTAACCAAATTTAAATATCATAATATCATAGGCGCAATTTCCATTTTTAACTTGGGGGGGGGGCTGGAATTAAAAAAAATATATATATATAAGTAAATATATTTTTGTATTTCAAAATTGTATGCATAACCTAATTTTTTTGGGGGGGGCTAAGCCCACCCTTGCCCCCCGTATTTGCGCCTATGCATAATATTATTATTAAATATTAATTTTTAATATTTATAGTTATTAGTTATAATACCTAGGTACTAGTTATACCTACTATTATTATTACTATATTATCATATATTACTATTATTATTATTTAGTATCATATCAAATTAAAAAATGCACAACAAATATGTGATTGAAAAATTAAAAATAATTTAGAAGTGTCAAAATTCAATTTTGAAAAAAGTATGTTATATTATGAGTAAGAAAGTATGCCACTCTCCCCTATGTAAATATTAACATTATATATGTACCTACTTTTACGTATAAATTTTCAAATATTTTTAATAGATATTCTACAAAATGTCAAAGACATATTATAATTTTAATATGAAACTTGCTAAATTTGTTGAACAGTATCCAATTCTGTATAATTTTCATTAGCCAGAATACAGTAAACGAGATGCCTTAAGTAAAACATGGGGAAATGTTGCAAAGGAAATGAATACAACTGGTAGGTATTATTGATTATTTTTTTTATTTTACAAAATTAGATTATATTTCTTTTTATATTAGTTTATAGTGTAATTATTTTGCCATGGTAATGAACAATTGGTTTAACAAAGTAATTTGAAAGGTACCTAGTCTCTCAAGGCTGAAGCTGAATTAAAATCTCTTGGTATATTATAAACTTATGTCAGATTCAGTTTAGTAGTAGTTTCTTCACTAAATCTGTTTCTTGAAAGGCAATTGGCTCAGAATTTTGCTCCTCAGTTTTTTAAATATAACTATGAAGTACACAAACACATTTTATAATTGATATGGCTGTTTTCTCTGAGCATAAAATTGGGCCTTGAAATAATTTCAACTTAGACACTAGCATTCCACTGACTTTCGAGCTCTACTCAATCTGTAATTAAATATGCGTTTTTTATCTGTTAAATCTTTTTGTGGAAAAAGTCACATGAGAAATAACTTTAATGGAAATGCTTCATCACCGCAAAAAAAATATATGTTATTTTTACTGGGTTATCATCAAACGAAAGTGATTCTGACTCTGGCAAATTTAATTCTCCTCTTTTTAACCAACAACCTAGTATAGGTGATCGAAAAATTCCGCCGTCACTATTCCGACCTAAATCTCCTACATCTATGGTTGTAAAACAGCCATCAGCATCTGCGCAGGCTAGCAGTTGAACTAAAAAAAAAACCTTTATAGTTTATGTTTCTTGAACCTGCAAACTTCTGAACTCAAAAATATTTGCCGTCAATAGATCCATCACAATGTGGGAAATTCCACAATGAATTGTAACAATCAGCTATAGTTTTCCAGGTCTATATTGCATTACACGTTTTAAAAACTATTAATCCAATAGTTGATGCACCTATCATGAAATTAAATGCAAGCTGTTTAAAGTTTATACCAGTAGCTTCTTCCTTTGATTTAACCATCACATAACAATAATATCATCATCGGACGAAATATTTATGACTAAAATAAGCTGTATAATATACTGTTAAGTAGGCAGGCAAAAAAAATACTTATGAAACAAATTTGTTCTATGTGTATTGACTATGTTTTGACTATATTTATGTTTTGTGTAATTAATTTTATTAAACAAAGTTCTCCTGTGTGTTACCCGCCTAACACACATAGTTTCATGGTATTTAATCCTTACACGGCTTTAAGACCGGCACTCAATTGGCTTGTTTAAGGTCTAGGCCATGTAGAAGAGCTTAGTCGTCTTAAATATTTAGACAAATTTTAATTTTCACTGTGTAAACAATTTTGAGTTCTGTAACACCGTTTGTCATTTGGCCTACATTTTTTGTTTAGTTTCATAAATATATTCTTGCTCACTTCTACTACTACACACACTATCTGATAAAATTAGTGAGCAGGTAAAAATATTATTCATTGGGAGCCAATTTTTCATCATGCTAAACACCGTATCATGTTTTTTTTAAACTCAAGCTTACTATACACAATTGTAATTAAAATTACAAATTTTTTTAATAAAAAATAAAAATTTATACTACATGGATGTCCATTTTCGTTTGATGGGTTTTAGGAAAGAAATTATTGGATTGTGCAAAGTATTCAAGAAACTCGTAACCGCTTATGGCGCTGAGTCCACTTCGACGGTGGCGGCCATGAGTTCCGCTGTTTTGATTTCAGTGCCCACACAGGTTTACTTAGACAAATATTGACTGTTCAAATTGCTTCATTGTTCAATTAAATTGCCATGTAGGGGTTCGACCGAATAATGTTCAGGGAACTGTTGCAAAACGAATTTGGCATTTCCACCGAAGAGATCCTGACCGACAGGATATTTTGTTTCTTTGATCTGCGTAACGACGGCGTCATACACGAGGATGAATGGGTCACAGGGCTATCAGTTTTACTTAAAGGCACTCAAGAGGAACGAATCAAGTATACCTTTACCATATACGACCTCAACAATGATGGTTACATCAGTCGAGAGGAGATTTTCAATTTATTAAGGTGATTGATGTGCAAACCTTATTTAACAATAGTTACAACATTTTGTCAGTATTCAAAGTCTGTTGATTTGTTCACAGGAATTGTCTTGTTAAACATCCTCAAGACGAGGACCCGGACGAAGGAGTGCGAGAGCTGGTGGATATAGTTTTGCGTAAAATGGACCACGACAACGATTCCAAGTTATCGTTTGAGGACTTCTCCTCTTCGGTTAATCACCAGACATTGTTGTTAGAAGCTTTTGGTCAGTGTTTGCCGTCCAGAGAAGCATCAGAAAAGTTTCTAAGCTCCATTACCTTTATTTGATGTACAAAACGGACATTATTGGAATTTTCATATGAATACGATAAAATAAAATTAATGCTAGAAATAAAAAACAAATAATGTCTATACAAAAACATTATTTGTAAGTCCATGCAAGGTCTTACTAAATTCATAGCATATTTGGCAATAAAACAATCAATGATCCGCAAAAATTAAACAAATTACATTTTTTGTACTAAATTTAGTCCGCAAGCTACATTAAATGATTTATGGTCAAATACATTTCCTCAAGGTTTTCATTAATTAACTAATATACATGATGTATTTTTCCATACCTAATTAAGCAAAAAATGTACAACATAAATATTATACAAATAATTATATTTAATTATGTTAATCGATGGTCCTAGTTAATTTTCATGCTAACTTTAGAAATTAAAATAGTTTGTTTAACCAAAAAACTTATTGTTTTATTCTTTATGCAAAGCTGAGAAGGTATTGATTTTACAATTTTTTATTTTATTTTTGTGTCTTGACCTATGATATTTCCTAAACCACTGAACCAATTTTTTCATGTAGCAAGTCAATAGATTAAAAATCGTACTCGAAAGGTACTTTATTGGGCCAACAATTTAAAAAGGCCAACCCCATAAAAATGATAAAAAAACACCCAAAAATGTATACATTTTTAAACTTATAACTTTACCGTAAATAGCGGAGCAAGTTCCAAATTTGTATAGAAATATTCCTTAGGTATTGTATTATCAATATACAACAAAACAAAAAATATTAAATCCCCTTTCTCCCAGGGGTAAATTTTTTTTCTTTATTTCTATTTTTAGGTGTAACTTTAGGGCTTAAGGTCTGTCAGTTAGACTGAAGGACAAAGGTAGATCTAGAGTGAGACTATAATGTGTGGTGTTCATTACAAAAGTGGTGTAACTTTTTTTTAAATATACATATTTTTGCTTAATGGGGTCATTTAATCATATCTTTAGTTATTATAGAGAAGCAACTCTAATAAATGCAAAAAATAAAAAAATAAAACACTGATAAATACCTGTATTGGATTTCCTAGACAATAATTTACAAAAAGCTCGTTATTTAAAAATTCAATTACGAGGAGATTCACATTTACAATGAAGGACACATGTATACAATTTTGTAAACTATTTATAGTCAAACTATTTTTTTTATTAAAGGGAAAACTAAAACTAAAAAGAGGAAAATTGCACTTAGACTATTTACTAATGCACATTTCTAAGTTGCTATGTGAGAATGAATCAACAGTAAATAGGTACCCGAAAAATATTTTTATTATGCTGGTGGTTTACCTAATAGTAGCAGACAGTCTACCTTAATCATATCCACTCAAATACTAAAAATATAATTTTTAGTACATTAAGTCATTACAATGCTTTCATCGATATTTGTGTTTCTACGATTACAGATTTGGATTAAAGCATTTATAATTATTAGGACAGGTGTTTACAGCTTTTGTGATTCACCCACACATATTTATATTGTAATTTTATTAATTTAATTAGGTATAGGAAATTATTAGGACAGACATACTCGAATATAACTCGAATAATATCTACTAAAAATACAATTTTAACTGTCACAATGACTTTTTAAATATTTAATATTTCTACCATCTACAGATTTACATTGAAGAGTTTATTTGCTAGTCACTTTTTTCAAATTTATTCAGATGTATTTAGAATACCCTTGAGTAAATTATTAATAAAATTAAAATAAATACTCTATTTTTGAAAAGTATATTTTTATTTAAGTTGTTTTATTTTACTTCAGAAAATATATTTTTAATTATAGTGTATCCAATTATCAATTGTACAATATTTTATGTTTAAATTATACAATAATAATTTATATATATATATAAAAAATTTGTTTTTTTATATTATACAATTATGTTTATTAATTTCACTATTAATAAAATAATTATCTAAGAATGTTATATCAACTGCTCAATGTCGTCTTACCACATTAGTTTTTACACATGTATAATAATTTTTACTTTTCTTTGGGCACAATCTTTTCTTTATCTTTATCTTTAGCAGCAGCTATAGTACTGGGCGTAATACCTGCCGCAGCTGCTATATTTCCAATACTGCACGTGTCTCCAGTTTCTAATTGTTTTAACAATCGAAACAGTGCAGATGCTTCTCTAATTTGTATAAAGTCAATGCAGAATGCTTGAACTTCAATGAACAATTCCTTTGAATAAAGAATGAGATGAACTTTGGTTTATTGTATACATAATTTAACCCTAGATAAGGCGCACGGGGTACCTTAGACTCATAATTTAGTTATGAGATTGACGTGAAAAGTTAAACTAAGTCATACTTAATTTAAGTGTGACTGAAAACCGTGCGCCTGATAAAGGATTATGAAAATCTAAGTTGCAAATTAATCAATTAAAGTTGAATTTTAATTTGTACGTTACCTGCACATTGATTATTTTGTTTCTAATAAGGGATTGTAGAAAAACACATACAAGTCGAACTAGACGATTTTGCATGTATTGATCTTTGATCGTTTCACAGGCGACAATGCAGTTTGATATATAAAGGTGAACAAATTCCGTCGGTAGTTCAACAGTGGTGGTTAATCTAAACGGACATTTAAATTATAATGTGCTGTTATAGCTTGGTTTAGCTGAGTATATTTAGATACCTATTTACTACTTCCATCGAATGTAACGACATTTCCATATTGACTAAAACGGAGAAATAATCGGTTATATAATGAGATTGCATAAGTTTTAGCAAAACCTCAATGGCAATTAGCGGATTGTTCTCGACTAGATCTGGTAGCTAGAAAATAACAATGTGTTAAACACGTATGTTTTGGAAACCAGGAATAGAGAATTTCTTACTTTACACGGAGTGAGTCCGATATAATATACAAGTTTTGGGTCATTTACAAGTTCGGCTAATAGGTGCTGCTGTTGTTGTAATGTTAGTGGGGCTTTGAGAGCTTTGGACATGAGTTCTCTTGCTTCGGTCGCAGCATTAGTTGATACACACATTGTTTTATCATACATAATCTGATGGTTAGAGCGACCGCTCATATTCAGCCAGACCATCTAAAAAAAGGTATGCCTAACATTGTCCACTTTCTTCACAATAGTTCTACTTAATATGGGAGTAGGAGGGGGGAGGATAATTATTTCATTGAAATCAAGAATATTAAATTATAATATAATAAATAATAATAAATAGTACTTTTTATTAAAAAATAAAAAATAAATTATTTTTAAAAACTTACTTCTTCCTTACAAATATATAATGGTGGCACTAATCGCATCATTTCTGGTTTGAAGTTATGAAAAACGTAAGATTTTGGTCCACTAATGAGCGTCTCTAAAACTTGCTTAGCGCCTTCTTTAGATCTGTCCATAGATAAATCATTATTGTTCATAATAAAATAAAATACAAAAAAAATACTACAGTTTTATTAAAATACAAATTACTCTGTTTTTTGGGGATCGGGAATTATGATTGGAAGTGAACTTTTTGCGGTTCTTGGAAGACTTTTTCGCCGATCTTTAATAGCATTAAGAATTGAGGCGGTATTAACTACTGGCTTGCTGGGATCATTTCTCGCAGTCAAAACTTGTTTAGCCGACTTCCTTAATAACTCTTTAGAGTTTTGTGACATAATTAAGTTTGACAAGAATGTTTTGACAGGCATTGTCAAAACAGGTAAGTCCCCGATATATTCATTTTTACTCACTTTTTTATGCTGCAAACAATTAATAATATTATACCACAATAGATTTGTACTATTAAATTTATAAGTTATATACAAAATTACCAAAAGATGCATAAAAACAGGAGCTAATGGATTTGTTGCAATGGGTTCATTTCTGTATAATTCATAACATAATACAATTGCTGCAAATTTTTGTGTTTGATTGAGCAGGAAATCAGAGTGTTGAATCAACATAAGTAAAGTGCATCCAACTGCAATAAAAAATAAATATATTTCCATACAATGTTATTTAATGAAATAAAAATTACCGCCAGTGAAGTTGATAAGCAGAATTTATATAAAATACAAAAAAGTAATAACTAAAAATAATCTTTTTTTATTTATTTTGTAGATAACACGAATAAAAATATTTTTTAAAAAAAGTGATTGATATTGTTAAATTAATTAGCTTGATAGTTGTGTTTATTCGACTACTATATAGTTAATATTAAGATATAAATATAAAATGTTCTATTTATTTCAATAATTAATAACAGTTTTCATCTTTTTAGTTTATAAAATTAAGTATAGTTTAACAGTACTAAAATTACAGGCTGACTATACTAAAATGTTGAGCCAAAATGTGCAACAGGCCATTAACAAAATTATCGGTTAATATAATAAAAAAGCGTAATTTATTAAAATTATGAAAGTATTAAACATCATAAACTTTGTAAATATTTTCTAACAGCAAATAAAGGTTTAATAAAGAACAGTTACCTTTGAAATTGTCTTCTCGTTTGAAATACTGATGCAATTGTGATACTAGGTACTCCAATGTTTGGTTTTCAACCGTTTCTTCGCTAAGAATGCTAAACAAAAAAAAAAATGATTACATCAATTATACGAGCAGTTTAAAAAGATAAAGTAATAAATCATACTTCATTAGAATAGACAACTGATTAACTGTGAGGAACATTTTAAAGTTAAAGAAAAAAAATGTAGAAACTACAAAATGTTAGGTATTTTTAAAATATAATGATGTAATTCTATACAATTAGTATTATGAATAATCTAAATAAATGATATAATTTATACTGTATTGGTTACTAAGTTAAGCAAATTGTTTTATGTATTAATTTTTTAAGAATACGAGGGCTTTAACGTAAACATTATATTATATTATAAACACAAAAGTTAAATCATAAGTGTTTAATTTGATAACTAAGTACTGATAAACAAAATGTTATCACCTCGGGTAAGCAAAGGTCGTTGTAAACGTGACAAAGAGGATGCAAGTTAACCTGTAGTAAAGGAGGGAAACATTTTTTAGTGCTAATTTTCGTTTATTTACTTAAATAATAATACAATTATGATTTTTGTTTATTTATTATTAAAAATTAAACTATAAAATATTCAGTATAATACTGTACTTAATGTTGTTTCGTTTATTATATACCTGTGTCAAAAATACATATGCTATTATTTGTCGTCATTATTATTTATTAAAATTTAAATGTAACCGGAAATCTTGCTGTTGTGCCTTTAATGTAAGTATAATTATAATATTAATAATAAGTTGTACAAGCATCGTTGTAAACAAGCTAACACTTTCAGACTTAATAATGCATTTTGGTTCGTGTTTATTGTGCAAATTTAAATTAGATTATTACTGATTCAGATTGAGATGTACGCTCATATATTTGTGTGGCTATGTCGTGTGTATAAATATAATATATTTATAAGGTTATAAAATTAACCGGGTTACACATTGCGTAATTGCGTGTAGCAAGACTACCAACGATGTGCATGTGCATCTGATGTTATCACGCATACATTTAACATACCAAAAAACTAGTTACTAGTTACAGCTTAAGATGTTATCAAATTTGTCTTTTTTCCATTATCAGTTGTAGCCTGTAGGCATATCGTGTTTGCTTGAATTTAAATTTGTTTTTTACTTGCTTTTTTTCTATACAAGCTCTAATAGTCTAATTATTTGTTTATATAGTATAATGTTTTATGTTTTGTCATTTAAATTTAGTATTTTTTATTATTATCGTGATCACGGCGCACTGTAAAATTATCCCGCCAATTTGCAGTTTCAGTATTTTCGTTAGAATCAATTTTATATTACCATGGATACTATGTTGGATAGCGATCATTGAGAAGAAATTAACTACATGGCTAAATTACATAAATAAAGGTAAGATTCTTAAAATTTAGCAAAATTGCTATAAAGTGATCCTAAATTCTTTTCAAATTAAAAAAAAATCCAAATTTTTAGCTTTAATTTTAAATATACATCAAAATTATGTTTTATTTTAATTACAAATTGTGAAGTGATAAAACTTAGGTAAGTTTATTTTCGGAACTTAATTTAGATAAATTATTATACTACGTTAAGGGCTTTTAGTGTTACTATTATTTTATATTTAAGCCAATTGACTGATAATTGTTAATTTACTATAATCAGTAAATGAAAATATTGTAAAAAACCCCCTTAAATATATTTCATGACCATGTATAGTTCTTATCTATGATATTTCTTTTTAGAAATCTATAAAATATTTTATCATAATAACATTAAATACTAAATTACAGTTTGAATCATATTACAATTTTTGAATAGTTAATATTGTAAAAGTAAGTTATTAGTTAGGAATAAATAATAAAATATTTATTAAACCATTAACTAAAAGAATAATACACCAAAACGTAGATACATATTTTGGTTCCAATACTATCATAACCAGCGGTCACATTAGACTGACTGTTTATTTTTTATGGTTTAGGGATTTTAAATCTTTTATTATTTTAATTTTAACTGTATAGAGTTGTTTATATATAACTACTAATGTTGCTTAGGTTTTTTTAGATAGTAAGATATGTTTGATACATAGGTTTATTGGGTATAGGTTTCAAAGTTTTATATAGTTACTATAAGTTGATAAATTAATCGTATAACAATAATAGGTATTAATCTTTCTTTCAACTTTTAGTATAATATCGATACACTTGATAACATTTAACCGGTTATTCATTTTTCTTTAAAGGTTAGAATTAGATATTTAAGAACTAAACTACTCGTTTAGCATAATAATACAAAATATTACAAATGATTTCTACAAGTGTTTACAAGCGCATACAAAATAAATTTATATTGTCTTAATAACATTATAATTTAAATTAAAGTAAAATCTTTTATACCTATACTGAATGTTTGAGTTTTGTTATTGTAGTTTAGTAGAATTTGGCTAATAGAAAATGAATTCTTTAACAAATTAGATCTTTGGTTGATAACAAGTGTACATTATGATTGTTGGTATCATGTAATGGAATATAGTATATATTATATAACTAGTATGTAAATAAATGAATCTTAACTTTAACCTACAAATTGATTATAAAATTGGTTGCATAGTCATGTATAATGTTAGTAACTGTGCTTGGGTTTTTTTTCTTTGAAAAGCTTATACAAACTTAATTTGAACTATTATATACTATATTAACAAGAAAATTTAACTATTAGAAATAATGAACATTATATAAGTGGAATTCCAGTGCAATCATTGCTTGAGATATTTGTTAAGTTGGATAAATTGATTATATACTTATCATGTCTACATTATGGTTTTTATTATAATTTTGGTGACTTTTTTTAGATTTTTTGCATTATTTTAATTTGAATGATTGGTGTTATCTTATTATTTGTTAAGCATTTGCTAATATTTATTACTATTTGACAATATAATTAATAAAACATGACGTATTGATTACTCATGAATACAATTATTAAAAACGTTTGTCCTTCTAATAAAGAAATCGCGATTTTTTATTTTTTATTTATGTTTTGTATTGTTTTATTATCTTAGGCTTAATTAAAAGGAGGGGGGGGGCTTGGAAGCATAAGTGCCAAATTTCCACCTCCAGTCATAAATTAAGACAACAAATAATTATCTATGGCTAAATAGTAAATACCAACAAGACTTGTAAAATAACCATTAGGTCATTTTTTTTAATCATAACAGTTGTTACCAAAATATGGTATTTGTTTAAAGTAAATAGAAGCGTGTTACTTTTATTAGTACAAAAATTAAACCACCGACTATTTTCTTTTCTTTTATTCATGTATAAAAAACTTGAGTAAAGTATTGTCGTATATTATTTGTTTTAGGTACTACACACTTATATGTAATAACCATTAAGTGAATGATATGAGTTTTTTATAATATATTATATATCAAGTAATAACACAGAATATATCAAAATGGACACTGATAAGGATTTGAATGGGTAACGATCATTAAATTGATTTGATAGGGAAAAAATTAATATGACTATATAATTATATATCCGAAATAATTTTGTTCTGTCAAATAATGTACTATATTTAGAAAAAACTTAAGCACTTATGGTTATATGTAATAAAATAATAATAAAAACCCTTAACCATAAAAATTACATACTCTTCGCGAATACGTCGTATTCCGGCAACAATGTTGTCATCTTCAGCGCTCACGACAGACTGATCATATTATAGAATAGATTAATAATATCACATTGTTACCTACAAGTTACAACTTGAAAAATTATGCTTTCTCCAACATAATGGCCACCAATTATTGATTAAAAATAAAAAATTTCTTACCTTAAAAATAAAAATGCTTTAGCACCCTGGTACCTCCTTTAAATCCACCCCCGCTTAAGTCTAGGATAAAATAAAATAATTGTCTTGTAGTTGAGTTTATTTTCGGAAAGAGCCCCCTTCCCTTATAATGATGCAATACTTTATTTATCAATTTATTCAATACCTAACATGTGACCAATGTTAGGAGAAAAAATTCAATTTCAAGGCGTTTCCACTATTTCTGTTCTTTCTGATCGAGTAAGACGTCGTGGTTATACGGTAAAGTTTAAATGACCCTATATTAAAGTAGTAAAATCATAATAATGTCTTCTCTCAGCGGGACCCTAGAGGGTTTGATTGCCATCGTTGTTGTTGTACAATGCAAATCATTACTACACAAGTAATATCTAAGAACATATCTGAAGGACCGAGTTCCTTAAATTTTGACCATACAACGTAGAAAAGATTGCCATAGTCTTGATTCGATAGTGTGTTTACGAGACAAATACACACACACACACACACGTACAAAATATATCAAGGCTACTAAATTAACTTTTCGTCTCTTGTATTTTATATAAAACGGACGAATCCAATTACAACTGAAATAATATATAATATATTCTATATATTTTAGTTAAACGCGATGAGTAATGTGTGTGCCCGACGATATTATTTAAGCATAACAATATACTCGTAGTCTGTCGTATACAAAATCAAATGGTGATTTTGTTATTTGATGTTTAGTCAGAATAAATTATAAAGTGTTATTAACTCAATTAAATATAATCCAGACTCTTCTTTATATCAGTTAATGGGGCTCCATGTTTTTTCTTGTTTTATTTATTTTCTATTTCAGTGTTTATTTTGAAACTGTATACTTAAAAAACTAACCAATTTTAGTTATATCTAGCTGAATTCAGGCCATGGTATGTAAATCGTCGGTTAATACACGAGAGTTATTTATATCATCTAAAGTTGAGAACTTAATCAGCCTTAAAGAGTTTTTTTAAGAACATGATTATTATAAGAAATTGAAAAATATTTATAAAATTATTTAATTTGTTAAAAACTTTCAGAACTTGATTTTTACAATCATAATCATAATATTTATTATAACGAAAAATGATTGTATTGTGTTTTATCAAGGTCGATTAAAATCGCTAGGTTGTTCGTTGGTGGCATTATAAATTATAAAATAATTAACATCTTTATGTTTTAGGACAGTAAGTGTTGCTTATTGAATTTGTTGGTTAGTGTGGTCTCTAATCATTTACATAATTTGCGCGCAGAGAAATATAATATCTCGGTAACTAACAGCAATTTGCATCAGCTTAAAATTTAAGAATAAGTAAACATATTGCAATTTAGTTTTAAAAAACAAAAACTATGAAAACCTCAAGCCATTAATTTATCACGACTTCTGATTCATAGAGTTATTTTTAGCTTCAATGCGGAGCTGAAAAAGTAGTGTTTTTATTATTTTTTTGTACCCACGATATCTCTTAAACCGTTGAACCAATTTTTGTATGTAG